TATCTGCCTTGAGGAACCTCCAGGAGAAGCTCAGGAGGTTGGAGTTGGAGAAAGGACATACAGAGCTCAGTCTGCACACTTTGGGGAGAGATGCCTCACACACACATCTGCAGAGAGATAAAGTCGCACGGAGACTCTTAAATGATCAGACAGACACAGAAAGAGAGACCAGTGGCCAGTCCAACTGCAATCAAGGTGGGTGTATGGATAAGATATAATTGCTTTTAAGCTAATTTAATATTAAGTATGTTTATTTTTTATATAAATAAATAATAAATGATGTGTATCTTAAGGTGTCTCATTGTTCTTCTCCACAGTGTTGATCACCCACCTGGCTGCCGCAGAGTCTCGCTGTGTGAAGCTGGAGCGACAGCTGGACCACATGAGGAGGATGTTGCGCAATGCCAAGGCAGACAGGACCAGCCTGCTCAAACAGCAGGTTAACACAGTGTCATAGGCTCTAACATCAGACTCTTCACTTAAAACTACACAAATAACATTACATTCCTGAATGTTTTTGACTAAAAGCCACCAAAGTGTAGGTAGGTTTTGTAAAACTGTATTAATTGTTCTCTACACTTTCAGGTTTCCATGGAGACAGCCAAGTCAGCTGATCAACAGTCTGACACAGTGTCTGAGCGTGCCCAGTTGGAGAAGCTTGAGCGGCTGGAGCAGGAGTATCTTAGGCTGACACGCACACAAAACAACGCTGAGGTACACACAAAGACACAGTGAAATGTCCCGAATTGTACATTTCTGTTCAGACAGAATTACATTAATTCCTCAAGCTTGCTCACAGCCCATCTGTCTGCAAATAAGACAAACAATGTTACATTATCCAAGAATTTAGTGCTGTGGTTCTCAATCTGGGAGTCAGGACTGCCACATGGGTTCCTAAGTTACATCTTTAATGGTCACAAGTTATGGAAAGGAGTAAGTAAACAAAATAAAACACACATTTGATACAATGTTTTGTTTTAATTTTCCTCTTTTATATATTTTTTCTTGTGAAATGCTGAATACGTGACAGCTCAAAAATTGAGGGTCACAAATCAAATGCTGTAGGTGGAAAAGCACTGATCCAGCTCTGGTTCCTTATATTAGAATTTACAAGCCTCAGCGTTATAGTACACTTAAAACTTAAAATCCCACATCGTTAATGTGTGATCATTCTGTTTGCTCAGAAATGTTTCCACATATGGTCTTACTTTACCAGAATGATCTCAAAGGCTGATTTATGTTTTAATCTTAAGTGGGCAGTGACAAGAAGCAACTTAAATCATCTTATTATTTCCACAATAATGATGATCGTGTGTGTCTGAATGTGTCAGGTGAAGATTTGGCAGCTGGAGATGAAACTACAGGAGGAGGAGCATCAAAGAAAGCTTGTCCAGGATAAGGCCAATCAGGTGAAATGGCTTTGATTTTTCTTTAGCTATAATAGCTTGTACTCACTATTGACATATTTCTTATACCTAAAAGAAAGCTTAGTCTTAGTTGTATTTTTTTTTTTTTGTATGTTTGTGTTCTTCAGCTACAAACAGGCCTGGAGGCCAATAGGATCCTGCTGCACTCAGTATCACCTTGCCTGTCAACCAGACAGTCCAAAGAGAAGAATTCAACATCAAAGGTTCAAGCTTTTACTTCTGTTTGAGTGCACTGAGAATGTTTCTTACCCTCTTTTAAAAGCAGATGTTTGAACTAATGTCACAAGACAGCTGCAGTTGAGTTGTTCTCTACAGTGTTAGTACATCTGTGAATGTCAGGTTCAATCAAGTTGAAAAGGATTTAAGTGCATTCGTTAGGATACCCTAATAGATTTTTAAAGTAGTATAAAATTGATGGAAGTTCCATTTTCTATGCTTTTGTTTCTCTAAAAAGGCGCATAACCTTTTAATAAGAACAGCTTTTTTTCTATGATCGGTGTCATCGTAAAATTCATATTTTTGGAGTATTTTGATCTTACTATTCTTTATGTTCATTTTCTCTTTCCAGAAATCATCGCCACGGCAGTCGTCCTACACAGAGCCACACTACAGACTGAGCCTCAGAGATGTACCTTTTGTTGCTGGAACGGTAGTATGGGCATAAATACATTTGTGGTTTTGGAATAGAATTATATTATATTTTTTAATGCTGGGCTTTCCTTCCACTAGCTCACTGTTTGACCATCTTTCTCCTCTCCTGCCTGACTTTCAGTCAGTGGGCTGCAGCCACTCGGTCCGAGCAAACGTCCAGTCAGTTTTGTCTCTCCTGAAGCGGCACCAGCCCCACCTCTGCAACAGCCGCGTCCTCTCTAACAGCGCAAACGGCTGTGAGACAGGTAGTCACAGGCATTCGGACACTTCTTCTTCTTCATCCTCTGCCAGTGGGGAGGAATTGTCGGAGCTGCTGCAAGCGCTGCAGGAGGAGCTGCGACTCATGAGCTTGTGAGTGTAGCCTCATCTGAGCTCTATAAGGAGTGAACGGCTAATGTAAAAGTTTATTCTGTGTGTGTGTGTGTGTTGTGTGTGTGTGTGTGTGTGTGTGTGTGTGTGTGCAGGGAACAGGACGAGTTGATGAGGCAGGTGGAGGCCAGTGTCACTGAACGGGAAAGAAAAGAACTTCAGAGGGAGCAGGAGAGGTTGCTGCTGAAAATGGAGAGAAAAGGAGAGCAGATCAGTAAACTCTACAAACACAAAACACAGGTAGGTTCTCACAAAAGCAATTCACTTCCCAAACTGCAAAAGCAAGATTTTGTTTCGTGACTCCCATCCTGTATCTTCTTTGTGTCTCACCTCCTAGATAAAGAAGTTAAGAAAGGAGGCGAATTCAAGGCCGAACAGTGGGAATGAGGTAAGAGTGACGACCACAGTGTCCACTAGAGGTCGCTCTGCTGGAGCAGTCAAAGTGAGACCAGGAGAGCGGAGCAGGAGGAACCTGAGGCTGCTGAGGGACATGAAGGCTCTGCAGACCTCATTACGGAACTGAAACCCAGCAGAACACGAACACAGCACATTAGTTTAATCTTGTTGGTGCTATCTACCTACCTATGGCCATTATGTCACCATCAACACAGCCACTGACTGATGATAACTACAGAATGTGGCACGCCAGTTATCATGAACTTATGACCCATGATCCATTGATGAAAGAGTTATATTTTTTACTGTATCAGGGACATTTGCATCTGAAAAAGCTGTCTTTTTAAACCAGAGCTAAGTTCCAGACAGGTTCACCCAAAGTGCATTTTATCAAAACAAGGTGAGTTTTCTGATAAGTCATTTTAGTATATTTATATACTCATACTTTGGCAGAAAAAGAGGGCTTTAATTTATAATTGACTTTATAAATTTTATTAAAGAAACTTGTATTTTTGGTTCATGGGGCGTGTTGGCTCAAACATCTGTCTGAACTCGCAGTCTTGTTTTTAACCAGCAGAGGGCATGACAGTTCATCCTCAAAGCTTAGTGTGAGTGAAGATCCAATGAGTGCAGGAAAATTTCATTGCACTTTAGTTTTTCATGTAGTTTTCTGGGCGTGGAAACAAATATTACAGTAATGAACAACCTGGACTTAATGAGTCCCACAGAATAAAAAAAATAAATAAAAGAATATTTTCTTCTTTTTATTAAGGAAGCCAAAATATCATGGTGCTAAAACATTCCTTGGTCAATATGTACAGATTTTCAGATAGATATTCATAGTTTATGCAGCAGCCAGCGGTAGTGTAAAGAAACTGCAGCGATGAATAGTTTGATACATATTTCTGCAGTTTGATTGGCCTAATTGTTTGCTGAAGGACCTAAACAAACATATACTGTGCTCTATGTGGTTAAAATGACTGAATCTCCTTTATGTGTCATATTGCAGACTCAGTATGTGTGTGCATGCGTATTGTGTGTCATGAGTATATTTAGGGGATTTAGATATTTTTTGACAATGATGGGTAACATGTTTTTGATTGAAAATGTATTTCTTTGAGAAATAAAGTATTTATGTTTGCCATTTGACTACAGTATTGTTGTCTTTATTTCACCTTGAATATATTCATCACCTTATGCATTGTCAACCAGCCATGTCACATTACTTGGTATTATTTGTGAGGATATTCCAATGATCCACTGTGCACTGGTACCTGTGGCCTGCTCCACTGTGATAAAACTGCTCCTGTTGGGTTCTCCTCTTTGACAGACTTGTCTTATCTGCCTTTGATGCTGGTACGTGTGACGTCAGTAAACATCAGTCCAGAATAAGGTCATAACAACCCATAAAATAAATGATCTGCAACTGTTTTACCACAATCCTAATGCTTTTTATGCTTCATTACATATCGATATCCTTTAAAGTAAACTTATTTAATTCACTGTAGAACAAAAAGGAATAACACTGAAATTATTTAATCATTCTGATCTTGATTGCTTTAATATGTTACTATTTAGTGTAACATATTTAAGGAATTATTAATGTGATTGTTTTTTATATATTAATATTATTCTAAATACTCCTGACCCCAAACCTCCTTGAGCTTGTTTTTTTAAAAAAAGATAGTGATGGTGATGGCTGAGACATAAACAAGTTTGTATTTACAAATGTTTAAGTTAATGATGTACAACATAAAACTGTCCCTATGGACTCCCATACATGAAATTACCCATAAATGTGATCCAGTTTTAATTCGTCCAATATTTAAATTAACGATCCTGCAGAAAATATACAATACATTTTGCAAAGATGCTTAACATTTCTCACACAAACTGTAGCTTGTAAGGAGCAATATGTATATTAAAAAAAAAAAACTTTATTTGATTTATTAAGCTGTAATATTCGCGCCCAAGACTCTGATTTCGGCAGAAGGCTGGACGGGGAAGCTCCTGAAGACTGGAGCTCCAGTGTGTCTGTCTCTGTACTGTCAGTCTCATACAGCTGCAGCCCAGTCGGTGCGGGATGTCTGCGGGGTTTATGGCTGCGATGTGACGAGGACACTGAGAAGGGCTGGTGGATAAACAGCGCTTTAAACTTGTCAAAGATATGGTAGGCTGCTTTTTACACTTTCTTTTCTTTTGCTTGCTTTTTAAATTCACTAACTTGTTTCACCAGACCTACAAGGAAAGATGAATGTGTTTGTCCTCCTCAGTATGGATTTATCAACACCTGTTTGAAATCGCTGGTTGTTGAAAAGTTTGGCGAGGAGACGTGGGTCAAGCTCAGGTAAACAAACAAACAACCTTTCTGTTTACAGTATTAATAGATTTCTTTCAAAGGCTTTCTTGAAAACTGCTTATTACTTTGTGTAGCCACCAATGAATGCATTACTTTTAGGGTCATTTTTCAAATCAACAATTCTTCTTCTGTTTGTATCCCCATTATCATAAATGCAAAAACAATAAATTCGCTCTCTTCCAAATCCATCACCATCCTGTGCAGGGATGAAGCTGGAGTCCAGGATACCTTCCTGACATATGAAGTCTATAAGGATGAAATCACCATGCAGTTAGTAGCAGAAGCCTGCAAGCTTCTAGGTATATTAATAACCATGTGTGCTCACTTTTGTTTCATAGTTTAAAATCTGAAATATTGGAGAAAGATAAGTCAAAATAAATGATTTTGTTTGTCATATATGATCCTGCTTTTGCTTTGTTTTTGTTTTTCTGGCAGGAGTGAAGCCAGAGGTTGTCCTGAGGCAGTTTGGAGAATATTTCTTTGAGTTCTGCAAACGCTCAGGCTATGATCACATGCTGCGGACTCTGGGAGGAAATTTGTTTGAATTTACTGAGAATTTGGATGCACTTCACAGCTACCTCGCCCTCTCCTACAAGGTGCCTGCTCCCATGCTAATTCATGTGGTCTTTTTTTTATCTTGTTTTTCTTATGATTGTGATTTATGATTCATTGTTTGAGTCTCGCAGGAAATGAATGCACCATCATTTCGGGTGGAGAGGAACCCTGATGGTACCATGCTTCTCCACTATTACTCAGACCGCCGAGGACTCTGCCACATTGTTCCTGGTTATTAAGAAAACACTTCTTCTAGAACAAATGTCTTTTGTATTATCACTTTTTGTATTACTCCTTCAATTTTGTCACTATTTGATTGACATTCAGATAAATAAAACACACTTGCAGCAATGATACGTAGGTGACACCACTCTCTTTTACAGGTATCATTGGAGCTGTTGCTAAAGATTTTTTCAACAGTGAGATCACAATGGAGATTGTCAACCAGCTGGAGGAGCTGGAGAGAACTGGGAAGAAGGAGCATGTGGTTTTCCTGGTGACTCAGTGGCCGGCTGCTCAGTCCAGTGTGGTTATTAGTGAAACTGAGCCATTTCCAAGAACCCAATCCCTCCAGCCTTTAGCTAACCGACGTAATGCGATGATCTGGATTAAAGAGGTAAGCTAACTATGTAGAGGGCCGAGAGTGGACAAAATGAGCCATAACAATAAATATGAATCTATTATAGTGTCCTCTCTGCGTCCTCAGCCACTTCATCAAAAGAGATCCAGTATCAGTTTGTCCATGCAAAGGAGTCACTGGGAAACAATTAGGGGGCTGGTTCACATTGGGAAAGGTACAGTACAGACAGCCATAAATATACATACAAAACTTGGAGCAACAGGTTGAGCCAGAAGTCAGAGACATCAGTAGAACTTGAAAATTGTAACCAAGATCTCCAGCAGGAGTCACACGCCTGTAGGTACCTTTATGTGCAAAGTTACACCCTTTGTCTTGCTTTACAGGCAAATTGTTGAGGGGTTTTCAGCCGGTGTACCCTACAGCCCTTAACATTGACCTGAAGACCTTCTGCCATGCTTTCCCTTTCCATATAGTCTTCGATGAGCAGGTACAGGTGACCACGTTCAAATGACAAATACAGTATATTAGAGGTTTGTGAGTGTTTGATCATATTAAATTGACTGAGGTGATCCTGGTGATGTCTGAGGCAGCTGGTGGTGCACCAGGCAGGGGTGAACCTCCAGAGGATCGTCCCTGGGCTCCAGACGATGAGCATCCATCTGGACCTTTACTTCAGCATTGTGCATCCTGAAGTCACGTTCACCATCTCCAGCATCAGGAAGTTCATCAACAGCCACTTTGTCCTGCAGACACGCAGGGACATGATGCCTGAAGTGTGGAAGGACAGGCCCATGTTGCAGCTCAGAGGTAGAGGACAAAAATAAAACCCAACAATATATTGTCTACCCTATGCAGATAGACGAAGTATTTAGGTTTGTTCCTTGCAGGTCAGATGATCTGGATGCCCTCTTTGGACTGCATGCTCTATCAAGCTTCTCCTCTGCTGAGAAGCCTTCAGGAGTTGGAGGAGAGGGACATGCACATATCTGACATCGCACCCCATGACGTCACCCGCGACCTCATTCTGCTCAATCAGCAGCGACTGGCTGAAATAGAGCTGTCCAATCAGTTGGAGAGGAAGAAAGAGGAGCTCCGCCTCCTGTCTCAGCACCTGGAGGAGGAGAGGAGGAAGACTGAGAACTTGCTGTACGCCATGCTGCCCAAACATGTAGCCAACCGGCTGAAGGAGGGCAAGACAGTAGAAGCAGGTTAATTGAATACAGATGCTATTAATGTTGCATAATTTGTTTTTGTGTATGACTAATATAATATAATATGACTGCGATGTGTCTTTATGTATGTGTTTGTATATCCTATAGGAGAATTTAAAGAGTGCACCATACTGTTCAGTGACGTGGTGACCTTCACAAACATCTGCTCCACGTGTGAACCCATCCAAATTGTCCTTATGCTCAACTCCATGTACCTCAGATTCGACAGGCTCACAACCGTGCACAATGTTTACAAGGTACACACAACAGATTGAACGCTTTTCAATCAGACTCAGATCAGTACAATTGAATGTATTTCTTTGGCATTTCCCAGGTGGAGACCATAGGGGACGCCTATATGGTGGTAGGTGGGGTGCCCATACCTGTCTCGAGCCATGCTGAAAGAGTGGCCAACTTTGCCCTGGGTATGATCTTGGCTGCCAGGGAGGTTATAAACCCTGTGACAGGAGGACCCATTCAGGTGCAGGAATCTTTGTACTCCATTTTTTCAAATACACAGAGGGAAATATTGTACTTTTTACTCCAACACATTTATATGACAGCTATGGTTACATGTAACTTGGCAGATTATGATTTTATACACAAAACATCTGCTCAGCTTGTAACACATAATGTTTTATTACAGAATAAACTACTTAATGCCATATTAATCACAATTAGCTCCACCTTGACCAACTACAACATTAGTACTGCTTACAAATTAATAAAATCAATAATAATGACATTCTGCGTAATTAATACTTTCACTTTTGCCTATAACTGTTGCTAATACTGTTATGTTCTATAGTGTGGTATTGCTACTTTTATGCAAGTAAATGATTTGAATACCGCTGCAAATGCAAATGCAATCAAAAGGATTTTTTTTTTGCTTTTATGCATGAAATGTGACACAGCATCTGTTATACGGCTTGTCGTATGTCTGTAGATCCGTGTGGGTCTCCACAGTGGTCCTGTCCTGGCAGGTGTAGTTGGGGAGAAGATGCCTCGCTACTGTCTGTTCGGAGACACAGTCAACACTGCATCTCGCATGGAGAGTCACGGCCTCCCTGACAAGATCCATTTGAGCCCAACCGTCTACAAGTGAGGATGCACATATTCAAGCATAAAAACACATGCGTTCATACACACTTTGATGTTTACCACGAACCCTGTGATGTCCTTTTCTGATTTCCACATCTCCTGTCTAACATTTCCTAGGGCTTTGAAGAATAAAAGCTTTGTTATCCAGAAGCGAGGGGAGATCGAGGTAAAGGGGAAGGGCAGAATGACTACTTACTTTCTTGAAACGAACATAGGAATAAGTGAGCAGCAGATTATGGGTCTCTCGGACTTAGAGACTGTGGATGGACAGCAGGACAGCCAGATGAGCTACCAGCCAGGTCTCCACAGATCAGGTTTGTTTGTTGTCTGAGAAATATCCCTAATTCTACATGTATGTTTTCTTTAAATTGGAGAACAAGGACTTTTAATTGGCAGTTGTTTGGTTTTTAAATGTCCTGCAGTCTTCATAAGCTATAATACACCAATCTCTTTCCTTCTCTCATTCACTTTTTCACCCTGTTGTAGCTTTTCAGAGGCAGCGCAGGGATGACCTTTGCTTGATCCCTATGAACTATGGCGACAGCCTGAATGAACCTGCACCGTGCTCACATATGTCTGAACCCCAAGCCTGCCCAGCCATCAAGCCCCGGGACTCAGAGAGCTACGGAAGCCTGCACACTGATGACCAATCAGAGGGTGGAGCTATAGACCAGTTAAAAGATACAGATGAATTTGGCCAAACAGATGTCAAACTAACAGAAAAACACATGGACGGCTTAGACAGTGACACAGAGGACCAACAGTTGACTGCAGGTGCTGTGGAAACCAACAATCAAAGCAAACACACCCTAACCAGGTTTTGTGTGGTCCTGTGAGCTGGTAATTACTTGCTGTATGGCAGACTATAAATGATTTATCAACATGTGCCAGTGCTGAACAAAACAGCTTTTTTTCATTCTCACCGTGTACTACATCAGATTGCTAGATTCTCTGCATTGTTGATGTTTCCGTTGATTGTGATACTTTGGATGTAGTGTATGCTTTGCTTGTTGCTCATGTATCTGTCTGTCATACTGAATAATAAATGCATTTGCCCTATCAGTGATTGACAATACATCTTGTGATTACAGAAGGTACAAATATTCAGATCATTTCAGATCAGATCAATTGTTTTCATACAATATGGTGAAGAATAAACACACTCAATCTTATTTAGTTCATTTGCTGTATCATTAATTTGTAATGCAGAAAAGTAACGTTTTGGCTAACGTCTTTCTCAGTGTGCAGGTGCCTCTATTTGAACTAATGCCAAAACATTAATATAGCAACTTCACGGCTACTTTTCACTAGTGTGAACCACTTTACCTCAGTTGAATTTTCAAAAAACAAAATGCAGCTGTGTATCCAGCCTTATAAATACATAAATGTGACATTACTGTACTATTTTAAACTGACTCACAATAATGATTGAGATATAAGAAATTTAAGTATAATTGTAACAATAGTTGAGCTTCTTAACATCTGTCAAAACAATTCATAACACTGCGTATATCACAGGTAACAGCTTACAGTGACATTTAAACGTGCCTTACTTTAATTGTCATATTAGTATGTCAAACACTGGTATATTCACAAGGAGCCTTCCAAACACGAAAGCAGACATTACACTTTGTAATATGGACTAAAAAAATACACTCTTTAGGAACACTGTCAGGATGTTTAGACACACACGGCCCCTTCACAATTCAAATAAGTTTACATTGTGAAAAGAAACAAAGATGAATAAATAATAGGTGTGTTGTTGCTCACAAGGCCTGAGTCAGTGACCACAGCTGTCCTTAAAAGAGCTGTTACCTACAGGTGAGCGTCTCACTCCAGAAACGACACCCCACGGTTGGGAGAGGAATCCAGACATCTGATCCCCACTGCAGAGGGCCCTGTGTCTCATCACTGTTGACCGGGCCTGGATTGCCATGGCCAGATGAAAACAACACCTGTAACCAGAGGCCTCTGTTTGTGTGGTCAGGTGTGATAAAATCGGTCTGCTGGCTCACTCAGTAAGAGCCCAGTCTACACTGACCTAAATGAAGAGGCTAACCTGTTCTGAGGCCACAGAGGCTTAGTTCATGTGTGCATTTTGTCTCATGGCCGCAGCCAAAGTCTTTAAAACAAAGTTCTGCTTCTCAAGAATCTGTCTCAGTTATGGAAGCCAACTCGGTGATTTTAGGCTCCTCCTGGTGCTTAGTCAGAACCGGCCGGTTGGTGTAAATGTCATCCACAGGTAGAAGGAATGTGACAGTTTTTACCTTGGTCCTAAAAGGGTAAAAGAAAATCATATGGTAACAAAGCTGCAATTTAAGAAACGGTTCAACCTAGAGAGAGAAAATAGCTTCAAATACTAGCCATCAATGGGGAGAACCTTCAAAAGAAGTGTCTGTTTGTACCTGTTTTTGTGTACATATTCCTGCAGAGAGTGCCTGTTGGTAACTTTCCCCACATCTGCTCTGGCTGAGTTTTCGAACATGCCGCTCCCATGCTGGATTTCCTCTTGTAGTCTACCCCATCCAGTGTCGCTCTGCTGTGCTCTGCCAGTCCTTCCCTCTCTCATGGTCACCCCAGACAGGTTGGAGCTTATAGAGTACCTTCGGACAGTCATGACAGCGTTCTCTGTGAAATAACATGAACACGGTGGATTGGGATGGATTCATTTCCAGAGATAGAGATAGAGATGGAGAAGAAAACTCAGGAAATGTTCTGATTCTAATTTAAATCTCATGTTATCTTTGAATGTACCAGCTTTCCATGTTTTAAAATAAATACAAGGTTTTCTTGTCATTTTCACATTTTGCCATTTCTATGAATGTTTCAATCAGAGGCTACTGAGTCGCATTATGGGAATTGGAGTATGTAGTGTTTTTTGTGTGGTGCTGGAGAAAGCTCATTTAAAATGCTCTTCCCCCATTCCCATTTACAGTGTTGTGGGAAATGAAGAATGAGTTGATATTAGAATTTTATACAATAAGAGACATTATTTAACAGATCATTTTCTCATGTACTATGGAATTTGCCTTATGAGTTTTGATGTCTATGGTGCTGTTTTCATCATTAAATGGTAAAACACACAAGTTTAAACGCAACCACCTGTACAGGCCCTTTTTCAGCCTACCTTTGTATTGTCCCTCCAGGACTGGCGCAGACGCATTGCGCCTCAGGTTCACATAAGGGTTTTCCTCAATCCCCGCCCGCTGCTCTGCCGCCGAAGACGCCGGGCTGCCTTCTCCTGGCACGGCCCCAAATGACCGCTGGCCGTAGTCTCCCCGCAGCTCTCGGTTCTCCGCCTCCAGCTTCTTGATTTCATCGCGCATCTCCATGATGACCTGCGCCAGGCTGCGGGTGCTCTCCATGGTGCTGCTGCTGCGCTGCCAGTACCACGGCTTCCCAAACACCGGCGGGGAATCGCGCAGGAGAAGCTCTCCGTGCTGCTGGGGCTTGAACATGCTGCTCCCCAAAGGGGGTTTGTGGTCTTCCTTACTGTCTGCCTTTCTCAACTGTGTGTGCCTCAATCTCAGTCCAGATCTTGTTCTGGGGAGATTATGTCGCCTTTCACCACTTATACAGCTGAAAGGGCTCCGGTGATCAGCCAGCAGCACACAATGGATGTTTTATTAATTAGCACCCGGCGTCCAGTTTCAGGAAAACTAAGCAGGGGTCGGAAATGAAATGTGCACGGCAGAAGAGCTTGAATGGCGGGAGACCTACTAAACCTGTAGGATCACTGAAATAGCAAGGGTTTTTTTTTTTTTTTTTTTTACAACTTTGTGGTCCTGCAACACGTGAAGCATCTTCATGTTTTAGCTCCAAAAAAAAAAAAAAAAAAAAAGGGAGGACACCAGATTTTGTTGGCACCTCACTCTTCCTCTTGTAATGCTCATGTCTCTGTTGGGATTACAATATCCTCCCTCTAAAATATTAATTGCGTCTGTCAGCAAAGATAAATCTAGGAAGGAAACTGAGAAAAGGCCGCCTTCAGTGTTTTTCTCTGGTTGTGATGCGCAAGAGCATTTATATAAGGCAGAAAAGAAGGTCAGATTGATTGATGGTACAAGTGCAGACTGGATGCACACTGAGGTGTCATTCATTTCATTCAGAAGACAGAGAGACATGTGGGGTAGTTGGACGGCCTCTGATTTAAGCCTATTAAATTTGTGGACCTCATGAATATGCATGTTGTTTGATAAAGGCAGAGGTCAGGGGGTTAACCCAATGATGACAGGCAGTCTTGGGGAAAAAAACACATGAAAACAAAACAGGCGTTTGATAAATAATAAGAGAAGGAATCACTGCAACAGACATCAAATACAGGCAGGCTGCACACAAAGGAGGAAATTACAGATAATTACACTCAATGGGGCTTCCACAGCCCGGATTGTATGGTCAGGTGCTGCAATGGAGCTCATGTGGGCACAGGTTGTAACCCATTATGAATAGACCAGACAGTCTCTGAGCACACCTGTAGCTTAGCTGGCCTGACTCCAACATGAAAAGAGGTAAACACTGCCCACACACAGAGTAGTATAAGATAAACATGAAATATTGTCAGGAAGAGCCATTAACTACCAGGTAGGTTTGAGACATTTTGTCTTCTGTGACCTGGACTGAATGGTGCTGGCTCAGAGCAACCTGACCCTGCCAGAGTCTAGGCCACGGGGAGGGAGACAGGCACACATAAGCCGGTCTGTGGAGGAGAGAAACCTAATCAGCCCCCTCTTTCTGGTTCACAAAATAGGCTACAGAGAGAGAGGGAGGCGAGAGAGATGAGACTGAGGGAAAGAGAGAAAGACCGATTGGCTGGAAGGAAGGGAGTGTGTGAAGACGAGGCAGGAGGACAGTGAAACTCAATCTGCTGCAACTCAGGTGTGCGACCACAGAGGGAGAGTGAAGAGTCGGAGATATAAATGTGTCAGCGGTGTTGTGGGGTAGGGATAAAGACAGACAAGTGATTGAGAGACAGACGACTGTGTGCTGTCTTTTACCACCAGCTCTATGCTCATGGCCACTTAACCTCTTCTTATGTGCAGTGCCACAACCCCAGGCTTAACATCAATAAATAAACAACCACTCTTCTGCTCTCTCTCTGCATGGACAGTAATTATACCCAACTATTGGAAAAAAACTGACACCAGATCCCATGGAACATCGGTCTATGTCAGAGCACATGCTACATTTGAATGTCATTTCACTTTCACTGAAAGCTCAGTTGCTGATGTTTAGGTCTTCTCACATAATAAATACATTTTATCATAAGTTTCTGTCTGCATTACTTTATTTACAACCAGCCATATATGCATGCTTTTTGAATCGAATACTCATTCTGATAGAAGCCTGTTTAATGAAGAACAAGATCTAGAAATCGTATACGTTACCCTGGACCTACAGATGTTCCCCTCTGCAGTCACAAAAAGGCAAACAGAATGAACAGACAAAACTCTGAGACAACAGACTACGCTAAGGGTCATTTTAGTTTCAGCTAGTAGTACACACAAAATACTGCATGTTAAGGAGTGTGCTCAGAAAACATCAGAACTAAAAACCTTTTTAAAAAATTTTCATATTAAGCGTTACTTACAGCAAAGTCTACCAGAGGGAAAATTCAGCATATCAGTTAATTAAATGAATGAAAAGAAGGTCATTCAAAAACCCATCCAACTGTCTCCTTGTTATTAATTAAAACCGAATTCTCTTTACTAATTCCTGTTTGCAGATGGCATCTTAGCTCCACACATACTCTGTCTGGTTGGGGCGTCAGTTGCTGTTACAATGAAATATAGAGTCGATAATGAAGATGCAAAGCACAAAGGAATACAAAAATCCAGGGTAAACACAGTGGAGACAGTCTGAGAACAAACAGACAGATACATTCTGGTAATGATGAGAGTCTCTAGGCTCCATCAGATGTAAACAAACTGCTCAGATTGGGTTCATTTGGCTGCTGACTTGGTTCTGACTTTGAAAAAGAAATCAATGAAACAAAAGTGTTGTTGCTTTTGGACCTTTCATTTCAGGCAGGATTTACTGTACAGCAACAACAACAACCCTGCCTCTGTTATGTTGAAACTCTCACTACTGTACATGTATTGTGTTTTTACAGAACATTTGATGTGCAAGGAGAAAATATTTGAGCCATCCACATACAAAATGCATACAGGATATCTAAGAATGAAATATCTTTAATATTTCAACGTATAAACATGGCAACTTTTGTGGCATTGATGGTGGAGGGAGGTGACATGACAGGTTGACCTAAAACCAAATGCCTTTCTACTGGTCAAAAACAACCCTGACCTCTTTTATCTGAATGCTTTGATGCAGCAGAGCCGTTTCACCTTCAGCACTGGCTTTTTTTTAAAGCCGAGTACCACATTATTAAGTTACTACAGTGACACTTGCTCCTTGAAGAAAATGTGATAGCAGACAGTACATGGCACAACTGAAGAATGAGTAGTTTCCCACATGACAAATGGCGGTTCAACCTCTACTGACCTTCTGTTGTCTCAATGTTTAAGTCTCTATGCATGTAATTAAATAGGAAACAATATAGTTAACATTAAGAGCTGATGGATTAAAAAATATTATACCTTATCTTCTGCACCATGGACCAAGGCAAAACGTGATTTTCTTCTTCTTTGTTTCAGGCTGAAGTTTGCTCATTACACATTTCTTTTTCCCACATTTCCATCTATTGTGCAGGTGAAGGACCTCACAATTACATATAATTAGCTGCTGCCTGGTCCAGTCAATAGACAGGAAACGAGGGGCTGCTGTGCACAGCTGCAGCCAAGGCACAATTTCATTTTAGAAAGCTTTTTTATCCCATTCAACATGGATGGAAACCTGGGCTAATGCGATTAACATACTGAGTGAACAGAATAGAGGACATGCAATTGCAGCAACACTGACACTGGGACAGCGGATGAAGAAATTCTGAGGAAAATTAATTTTGGACATTAACAAATTTTTATTTAAATGTTATACATAAAACTTTAGTTTTTCTTCTTTTTTTAAATTCAGCTAAACAAATATTTATATATTGTATATTTTATAAAAAGAAACATTTCAAACATTTTAAATATTAATATTTCTTATTTACAATTCAAAACAGTACAGGAAATAATAACAGTAACAATGCAGTTTCAATCATAAAAATGTTACAAAACATAATTTTTTTTGTTTCCATTTGAAAATTGGCAAGCTGATATTTCCAGAACGTTAGCAAGGATACAAAGTAGCAATGTGGAGCTGCTCTACATTCAGACGGGAACTGGAGGTGCGTTCAGCTCTTCAGATCCTTTGTTAGTCAAAGACCTGTAATCCAAATCTATTCTTTTTCACATTAGCTATCTCACGAGATCTCTTGAAATAGTTTGAAGTACAATGATATTCCACAGAAAGAAATGTAAAAATTGTCATCAAAATGCACCAGAAAGCTATATATTACATATACAGCTGAACGCACCTCGAGCTCAGTAAGGTCACTGTTCTCTAAAGGGACAGGGTTGTGGAGAGAAGGCGCATGTTGTGTGCATGTTGTGTATGAACATATGCACTGTGTGTATTTGTTTGTGTGTCAGTATGTAAGCTAATGAATCAGTTGGCAGGGAAGGGGAATCCATATGACACATGGATCGAGTCTCTAAAACCAAAACAAACAGTAGCTAACAGTCCAGCAGCCTGGCCTCTACTGTAGATAGTCAACGTTTTCAACGACAGGACTACAGACTATCACGACCACAGTCTACACACTTCTTCCCTTGTTTTTCTCTACACTCTGTCAGTCACAGTTCCACTAGCCCGCTGCTCCCTGCAGCAGGAAACAACTACAGTCAGAAACAAGCAAATGAGCTGCTTTGAGGCTCAAACTGGCACTCCAGTCATTTTTTTGGGGGGAAAAAAAGTCCTCCCTCGCACAAAGAATTTCTTGTGAGTCTATTGGCCATTCAGTAGGCGCTGTGCCGTTCCGTTCCTGGTTGTCTTGTGTGAGGAATCTGGACAAAAGCAGGGATAAAAAGCTTGCATTGGAACAGGAAAATTCAAAAGCAGGTAAGTATCAAAGCTAGAAGACTGGCTCTTGGATAGACTGGGATAGGCTGCGATATGGAGGACAGATAAAGTGAGGTAAGCAAGTACGTGAATGTGAAATGATGTCTTTCATGAAGGAATTTGATGCCATGACATACCAGTCTTAGAAAGAGTGGACAGAGAGCTGTTAGAGAGAGATGAGGTACTGGCAGCAAGAACACTTTTTTGCAGCTGTAATGAGAGGAGAAGTTCAAAAAGAAGTCGAGAGAAGTGTGAACAGAAGCTGATACCCACGACAATGCAAAATGCGTCATAAAAGATGAGAAGCAAAAGATGATGCTCACTATGCCATGCAACTGAATGAGAAAAAAAACAACAACAGTGTGGTAATAACATAAGTCTGGACACTCATTGGTCATTGCTTAGTGAGACCTGTTCATTCATGATGCCAGACAGCTCAGTCAGCATGTCCCGGTAGTGAGCTCTCATCTCCTCCTGGTATTCCAGCTGGTCCTCCTTGATCAGACGCTCATTCACATCCAAAGCCTGACCACAGGCTTCTGCAAACTGCCTGCAGGGGGGCAAACAAAGTCGTACTCATTATGAATGCTGTGAATCAAGCCATTGAACCTGACCTTTAAAAGATCTAAGAAAGGATTTCTTTTGAAAAAGTCAAAAACTGTGACGCTCTAACTGTTTCTTGACATTCATTACACATAAACAGCTTTGCCTAATGATGCTTTTAACACTGTAAGAGTTTACACTTTGGAGAAAATTGTTGCATTTATAAATCTGAAGGTGCAATAGGGCCAAAAATCTGTTGTTGTTTTTTTCAAGATTTCCTTTCCTTTTACTTACACCTATTTGCATAAAGTTAGACAGTAAGATAGTCATTGTTAGTGCTGACAATTATGCCCTTAACCTCTAATCATCTGGGTAAAAAAAAAAAAAAAATTCAAAAAGTAAACAAAAAAGTTCAAACATTGCCAACATGTATTCAGCTGTAACACATTGTGTATTCATTTATGTTTATTCACTTAAAAAACTATTAAATAGAATTTTGAATTGAGCATGATGGGTGTGGACTATTCAACTTTTTACACTCTCAGTTTACACTTGAAAGGGAATCGCTGCCTAACATATCCCACAATATAATGTTTTGGCAGTTGGCAGTGTAATAACGTAGGTCTATTTGGTCTTATTATAAGGTTTTAGATTTCCTTTTGTAAAACATTTGCCCTGACACAGTTCTCATACAAAAGCTTGGCTTTATTATCAAATGCTTAAAGTAGCCAAAAGCAAGCAGGGCTTCTATTGTTCCTCGACACTCAGGGTATAAAATTCCAAAATTCAAACCTTCATGCAAAATATATACCTACTGTGTAATGCTAGAAACAAAATCCACAACACTTTGCACTGAATTGTGAATTTAATCCTACCTGAAGATCTCCTTGAGCAGTTTGACCTGGTTGTCTGGGTATTTCTTTGCATTCTTCTCCTCTAAGAACGCCCTGGCATAAGCCATAGGCCCTGCATTCACCTGAAAGGGGAAGGTCAGGTGAGATAAACAAAGCACCCACATTCACACCAAAATCTGTATTTTGGAAGAATCCCCACCTTGACACTGACGCTGCCCTGTAGCTTCAGCTGGAGCCGGATCATGTCTACCTCCTCCATGTTGCAGAGCTGGTTGAGCTCAGAGACTTTCCGTGACATCTCATCAATGGCTACCTCAATCGGATTCATTTCTGTGCTCTGCTGCTCCACTACCTGGATACGCTTCTTTAGGTAGGGGAAGCTGGAACTCGCTGAAGAAAGAGAGAAATAACAATTCACCGGTCAGACAGATTCTACCTTATAGTTCCCTATCAGTCTGAACAACAGAAATGGTACAAACATATGTATGTTCTACTGTTTCTTTGTTCAAAGGGGGAAACTAATACTTACTGGTCAATATGGTGCGTCTCTTGCACTGCTCCTCCACGTCTCCATGTTTCTTCCCTGACAGAGTGAATGGCGTCTCAAACACAAAGCGGTTGATGTTGTGATGTCTCTCAAAATCAGTCCTTTTTTCCTGTTGTTCTTTCTCGTCCAAGTAGGGCACCACGTACGTCACCTGAATGTAGGCAAACTTGGGGTCCAGGTCTTTAGGATTGACCTGTTTTTAAAGGATGTTGAGCAAGCTATAGTGAATATGTTTGCAAAGTTATATATAATGCAATAATATAAGTTAGGCAATCATTCAGTTTTGATTATCTTAACAAATAACTTAACACAATAAACAGGTCAAATTCTGTAATTGACCTTATTGGAGTCTTGGATCATCTTGACATTATCAGCTCCAAACTTGTCGGAGTAGAGTTTGAGTAATCTCTGGGAGATTTCTGACAGTCCTGTCAGCTTCGGCTCTTTGTAGATGAACTCTTTGCTCTCCTCCTCCTCAAAGAAACCCTACCGGAACACACACACACACACACACACACACACACACACACACACACACACACACACACACACACACACACACACACACACACACACACACACACACACACACACACACACACACACACACACACACACACACACACACACACACACACACACACACACACACACAATTTAGCAAAGCATGCTACATGTATGGGTGTTTGTGTGTATGTAATGCAAGAATAAAATATAGATGATGTTGCTATATGCTGTATACGTGTCAGTCTGATTTTATGTTGCCCCCTGGTGGTTTCTTGAGTCGCTGGTTGTACACATAGGCCACAACAAAGTGTTAGAACAACTCAGCCCTAACAGGGTGCCAGTGTTAGGTTCTGGATGGGAGAGGTCAAAGGTCATTTTCAAAGCAGCATTGGAGTCAAATGTCAAAGGTGAATGAGGTTTAGCATCTTCCTGTCCACAGTTGCTGTTTGACATCAGCTCTTCTTAATGCTTGGGGAGTAAACTAAATTGTTGGAGATTATGGAAAGTAAAATGGACCACAGCAAGCTTGACACAAACCCTTCAAAGGGTAAGAGCAGTAGATGTTAATAGTGGTAGAAGGAGAAGAGAGGTAAAAGTGGTTAGCACTGAGGAAATTGGAAAATCAAAGACATACAAAACTTACCGCAATCTTGATATAGTATATAATAAAAAAATGGAAGAAAAGAGCAGACAGAGAAATTAAGGACACTGACTCAGTAAAGAAAATCTGGTCTCCTAATCTTCCCATCTCCATGCCTCACTGACAAGGCGTTGTATTGTTCTCCTCCTTTTTTCCAAGAGCGAGAAGGTTTCATATTCTCATTATCAGCTTTTTAAACTCTTTCTTCACTCCTGAGCTCTGAAATCCCTGCATAGAAATACAATCCCCTCATTAACACATAGGGAACTGTGTCAAGGATCCAAGTTCTTAAAAACCGAGCCAGAACCGCACAGTGCTTCTTAAAAGATAAAGCCAGGGATTCAAAGAAAGAAGAAAACGAGGGCACAATTCACCTTTTATAGAAAATATGCTCTCATCATTTCTAAAGAGAAAGTTTGGTTTTATTTGCAGATGTATTGAGATATTGGCATTGACGTCTGCTGCCTTGGTTTGAGACACACAAAGCATTGGAAAATGACACTGGAAAAGCTAAACAGCACAAAAAACGGTGTCCCATTGAAAAGAGGTCCCATAGGACATGTGTTGGCCAAGTTGTCGTTTGATAGCGCTTACAAGAGGCATACAGTAGTAGCACTACCAGGTTTACATTGATTTGTATGGCACAGTAAAGCAATGGAGACATCTGGTACCGGTAATTCTGTCTGTCAAATCTGTCAGCTGCAGAGTTTTAGTTACTGTTGTTCTGTTGTGGCATAAGAAACCATAGGTATGTTTTTAAAAGTGTGTACTGTTGCTCACCTGTCCATAGAAAGCTACACGGTAGTAGCGACCGAAGAGACGCTTTTCTGAGTTCACCACCTCAGTCACCTTGAGATAGGAGCGATGGATGTCATAGTACAGCTCTGACAGCCTCTGTTGGCACAAACAAACACACATGTAAGGCTAAACTCAATATGCAGACACACATACAAAAGTGAAAGGGTTAACAGTTACCTTAAAATCCCGTCTCTTTTCAAAGACGGCTATCACAGGTTTGTTGATGTCAGCGATGAGCTCGTGTCTCTCTGATTTCCACAGATAATCCACACACAACTCCAGCTGCTCTACCAGAGTGTCCTGCACAGTCCAGAAATGTTGGGAAGCATATAAGAGAGGAAAGGGAAACACAGTTCCTGCCATGCCATGAGCACATCACACTTTCTCAAACTGGCAACAATGGTTATGATTATAAAATGTTATTGTATAGAGCAAAACTTTTGTTCAAGATTAAAGGCAAACGCTGACCTCAGTATAGGGCGTGTCTTGTGTACCAGTGTCTTCCTTCATGGCACCCTCCTCTTTGACATTAGGGCTGATGCACATAAACGCTGCCCAGCCCATAGAGAACGACGCTGGGGTTTCAAAGGGTAAAAGGGCAGGTAAGTTCAACAGATATACACTTGCCATAAAAGCTTACACATTATTGCTAGTGTTCTGTTTCTTTTAAACATACAGATGCACAAAATGCATCCAACACATATTTCCTTGTATTAAAATACAAGAAGTTTTACACTGTTGTTACAGTCAAGCATTCCATTTTTGCACACTCAGACAAAAATTAAAAAACATCAAATGTGAGCGTGCTTCGTAACAAACCCCAGTGACACTGAACATCTCATCCAGTGAGACTTGAGTGAACAGCAAAGGTCAAACAGTGACAGTAAAAAACGATAACCTGACATAATCTCATATCATTAAGGCAAGAACAGTGGTCCTCAAAACATTTAACTACACAGTGTGGAAACCCTTATCCAACAATGGAGTAGTTAAGATTTGAACTGGTACCTGACAACTTGATGTCCCTTTAAACCATGTCCACCTTTCAGTATCAACACCTTTCACCCAGTTGCAAGTAGTTTAAACATCACTATGTTCTGCACTCCCAATCCCACCACCCAGCAGGCCCCAGGCGCACACACTCACTGTCTTGATCTCGGGAGGTAGTTAGTAAGGAGCTACAGTTATAGACAGGGCTTTCTTCAGGGGACACACTGGACATCCTGGCCTTGTCAGCTCTCCAGTAGCCTGTTTGGTAGGAGCGGAGGAGGAGGAGGAGGAGGAGGAGGAGGAGGAGGAGGAGGTTTACAAAGTTCATGTCCACTTGCTTTTGCCTTTTATGCGCAAGGACGAGGCTCATGAATCAGCCAAGCACACGGGCATGCTATGCTAAGCTATTGGCACACAGGCTCAGTGCGTAAAGTGCATGCGAAACTACGTCAGACAGGTGCAGCAAGAGATACACACATGCTGTACTCTAAATGAGGAAGCATGCACGCATAAGAACAAACACATTTGCAGATAGAGGAACATGAAGCACAGAGAAAATGAGTAGACTATCTCTTCTAGAAGTTGTGGATGGGAATGGTATTTGGATGCAAAGACAAATCTATACTATCCCACTTCATTCCCCATGAGTTCCTTATTAATCTGTGTGCTCACTTTAAGGCATACAAATCAACCCCCATGATGTGAAGGACTGAGAGTTGCAATGACCACGTTAGCAGAGAGAAAGAAAGGTTTGCGGATTGAAGGATGGCTGTGATCAAACTTTCTGGTTAAGAGTTACCATGTCTGCAAAGATGCACAAATGACAACAGCAATATCATAGCTCTGCGTATGCACAAATATTTGTGCATGCGCATTAACACACAAACCATGCTGCAAAAAGTAAAGTCAAAGCAGCAGCATGTGTGCACTAACCTCTCCTCTTCAACGATTCAGCAATCAGGGCCGAGATGTGGATGTAGCACATGGCAGCCTGAGGGAAAGTCAGAATCAATACCATGAAATGTAAGTAATACATCATTCTAAAAGCCTGAAGTTTGTGAAGTTTCTGAAGTAATTGAATCCGAAAAAAGGACAACGTTTATTACCTCTGAGAGATCCCCGTTGCGGACGTGAACCTTAGCCATGCTCTCCAGCCAGGTGCGTCGAAGCTCGGGTGTGCTGGCGTAGGAGTTGGCCAGACTGTACTGAAGATCTACCAGCATCTCTGGATCCTTCTCATGCTCCTTCATTTGTGCTGTGGCCATCAGAACGGTCCTGATCCGTTTGGTCAAGTCTTTCACCTCAGCAGGGAATGGAGTGTTCTGTAGGACACATATTACCAACGTTGATTATTTTAAGTACAGATGTAGAATGAAATACTACTATACAACATAATTATTGATGATAAAGTTACAATATAACACTTGTTCCACCTTGAGTGGTGCATCTCCGTTGGCAAAGTTATTGATGATAGCCAAGGACTGCTGAAATCTGGAGCCTCCAATGCCAGCATCTGCTATCAACTGGCTCACTGCCTTGATAACCTGAAGTGGTAAGGAGGAGCGTGGTTGTGAGGAAAATGTCACAGTGAAACAACACAATACTGATATTATACATTTGTACCACTAATTTGGTCTCACTGACCTGCAGATGTGAGCGGACTATAGACTTGCCCTTGGTAAACTCAAAGTTTTTTCTCATGAAAAAATACAGCAGGGCAGCTGCCTCCGTCTGGGTGGAGCTGGAACGATGGTTACAGCACTTGAGGATCTCATAGCATAGACAGCCGCACAGGTCTGCCTTACCCTGGAAGAATGCACTGGGGAACTACAGAAAGACAAAACCACGTGTCAGAAAAATTACAGTAATCTTCACGCAGATTTTATATGTGCACATGAGGTTTGCTGGACCTTTTGTACAAAGAGCCTGAGTCCAGCGAAGATGTGCCGTAGAGTGGTGGTTGATTGGTTGATCTGAAAGAAGAGCAAGTAGGTGTCCAGCACCTTCTTCATCAAAGCGTTTTGTCCATCATCCAGCAACAGCTGCTTCTGTATGGATGAATGTAAGAAGAAGAAAGCAGAAAACACAATTTACCATCAAAGTTTCAACTTTTTTTTCCAATTGAAAGCTTTCATGCAAATACTACTTCACTGTTTTTAAAACCACAGATTTGTCTAGCCACCAGGGTGCAGTAGAGTATAAATGGCTTGGTTTTGGTGTGCATGAAATGTGTTTTACACTGCAATTCATACTGGAGGATACACAACTATTTGTATTGTGCATTAGAATGATGGTAGCAGATATATAGAGAATACTACCGTTTCTTTTTATCAAGAAGCAGAAACAAAACATTTTTTAAAACTTTTTCATAGCCAAAATGTAACTATTATTAGATTTTTAAATAGTGTAATATACAGCCTTTTAAACAAATGAACAAATAAAAGGGCTAAAGCCATACATTTAAATGTATTTGTTTGCATTTGCATGTAATTGTCAAATCCAAAAACTGAAAGCAAAGTTAACACAATAAAACTAATGTAACATACTATAATATTCAGAGGCTTCACATCACAAATATATACACAATATATACTGCATGTACAAAGACAATACAAAAACAATAGATGACACAAACACTAAATATAGTTTCAGACCGTAAACAATGAAAGGACCACAAACCTTGTGATGGTGAACAAAGAGCTCCAGTACATCCAGCACAGTGAGCGACACCTCAGTGGACAAGTTTGCCTCAATATCTGTAGGACTCAGCGTGTCTCCATCCTGAATATTCCCATCTGGAAAGAGAATCAGACATAGAAATAACTCAAATCCATCTCAGTAACTTTACATTCCTCCAAGTCAAAATGTGTGTGAACGTGTCACTGTACCTGTCTCCATCATCTGCAGCAGTTTGGGGTTAGTGAGAGCATTCTTCCCCCTGATGATGGGCATAGTTTGGGAGCGAGCATGTCTGTGACCTTCCCCTCCAGATGATGCCATCCTGGAGGCAACAGCAGGGATCAGCAGCTAGTATCAATCACAGTGCTTGCACGTATTATTTAATACTTGTTTAAACTACACTGCAGCAAATGTGCGACAAAACCTAGTGGCAAGTGTAGGCCAACCACCTCCAGAGATTTTTCACATTTTAGTAGGCAGGTAAAGACCCATGTAGTTATCGGGAGTCTATTAACACATGGAGGTACAGAGACAGAGGGGGGCAAATCACTCAAAACACTGCAGGTATGAGGAGGGGCATGCTGAGAACACAGTCACAGTCTATAACATGGAAACACACAGTGGGTACATCAAAGATGAATATACACAGGACAAGAATGTATTTATCTAATAGCTGTAGGTTGTATTCAAATAATGTGGAGTCTCTTGTTATTTAGGAAAATGTTTACATTTTGTCAGCAGACAATCATTAGCATTAAGAACAATTTCAGTAACCAAAGACTCAGACTCTCATCATGGCTTAGGTGTTTTCCTGGTGGAGGGTTATTACCATTGTGGGAAGAGGCTTGAGTGTTGAGAGGACTGGGAGGGGTGGTTAGAGCCCTTCAGGGTGCCATTGGCGTGGGTGGACTGGGCCAGCTTTACTGCCGCTGCTAGCTTCCTGTTCACGAGCCAATCACATCAAAGCTAACATTAGTTAGTTTAGTCGTGACCATCATTGGTTAGTGTCGATCATTATCATCATTAGTCAGTTATATTATCTACGTGTGGCGTTGCTAATAGTTGCTCAAGCACGCCTGGAATCAATAAAGAATTGACATTATAGAGTGAATGTAAATACTTTGCAATACAGCACTATTTTTGCTACACTTTTGTGACCTTGTTACAGATTTCTAGCAACTAGGTCACACTGTAAAGCCAAATGCCAAAAGCATACAGGAGCTCCGATTTGACCTTGGTGCGATGGGAGCGGCTGGAGTCAGAGAGAAAGATCAAACAACTCATATAGAGAGGGAGGTCAGCCAGATGGAAAGGTTAGTGGCGTAGCAGAGTCAATGGTTTTAGTTTGCCATTAGTGTAATATTGTGTAAATGGTATATCAACACTTGGTAGGTTGTTAGTGGAGATTGGGGTTAGGTCAGTATTAATGTAGTAGACAGCAAGGAGATTAGGATGTATAGATATGATGAAACTAATAGACAGTTAAGCTGCAGCACAAATCAGCTTAGTAAATGGATTTCAACAAACAGATGTTCAACATATCGTATTCTCGTGGTGCTTAAATGAAGCACGAACGGGAACACGGCGGCTAATAAACACAAAGCAAGCGATGCTTTGGCCGGCCAAAAGAAAGAGGACACAACTACTGTGTAAGCCAATCAACACAACCGCCTCAGAGCCCATTAAGGAAACTCAATCAAGCCAAGCAGCATGTGGAGCCCGGCCAGTCATGAGGCAGGGTGAGGAGACAGAGGGCTACAAGGTGGACATGCAACATCAATGAGGAAAATGTGTTAAAGGATGTAAACTAACATACAGTGCCAGCATACATTTCCTGTTTATTTAGCATTTATGTCAATACAGCAGGGGTTACTTGATGCAACAGAACATCAATAATGTGCAGCCACACACACAGCATGCACAGGGAGGGAGGGGATGATGCATGCACTGTGGTGGGAATACTACAACAGCAAGGTTTGAACGTGGGGAAAACATTACCATTATTTGTTTGGGTCATGTAGTGTATATTGTGCATGTGCATGAGCGCGTGTGTATCTCGGCTAAAGTCTAAAATATGCTTACATTAAGGAGGTGAGGCTGCTTGCACCAACAAACAAACCATCAATAACTGTAACTACTGGCTAACCTAAAGGCCCCGATAACCTTCCACGAGCGCTGGAACCGAGGAAGAACACACCATTTTCTGCCAAATTCGGAACAATTTTGGTTATTTTACATGAGAGATTTCTGTGTTTTCTTTTTTGTCTGATCTCATCTCACCAGTTTGAAGAGGGTGGGGCTCTGTCAGAAAATGGTGAGGTCTTGTACGATCATGCACCATTTAGAATTTAGCAACATGTAATGACCAACTGATCACAGTTTGCTTATGCTGCCAGCCTGCTGTCAATCAATTTTGATCAAACCACATCCACACATTCCTGATGAAGCAGATGAGCAGTTTTGATCATTTTACTATTGCTTTTATCATGAATATTTAATTCTATAGAGAAATATTTAAAATTTGAAAACAATTTTTCAGGGGCATTAATGACTGGATTGTTGTCTGATAGGCTGACTGTCTGACTGTCTTCTTAACTTGCTGGCTGGCTTCACACTACTAGTATAATTCATCACTCCTGAACTTCAGTGGGTGCCCACACTGACTCAGCCAGGCCTCAAAGAGCTAACAGAGAGAGACTCTGAGACAGACACAGGCGTAAGACTGTGAATCCCCCATGGCCTGGTATTACAGACGAATGTTAAGTAGCTAGCAGCCCCAGACAGGCTCAACTACGTCTGAGAGCACTAGCAAGGCTTCCAGCTATCTTTATTCTGTTAATGCCTCCACACACAGTAAAGCAGTGTGTTCTTCCAGCCTTTTGTTGGCTTACATCTCAGCATCTTATTGCTGAAAGGAAAAGAGGGCTAATTTAATTAGCTGGGAGGAACCAGAAGATGGAGGAGTCGAGCGGTGCCAATGGCAAAGCTCCAGTAGGAGCACACACACACACACACACACACACACACACACACACACACACACACACACACACACACACACACACACACACACATACACATACACATACATACACACACACACACACACACACACACACACAATAACAACCCCCATCCTGTGCTTGCCAACTACTACAGTACAATATCCAGCAGTGCTTTTCTCTCAACAGCGAGATCCAGGAGTTTCAACCTCCCCCTCTCCTCCTTTTCTTCCCTCCCTTACCACTTCCCCTCTTGAAGCTCATCTCTGAGCATGCACACGCATATAGAACACATATTAGTATTTCTGCCCGACTGTGTCTGATTCATTTATTTGTTTGTGTGTGTTTGCACATACGTGTCTCCGTGGCTACATTTGCACATGTGTGCATTCATGTGTGCGCATGATTATATGAATTATGTATCAGTGGGGGAGTGTTGCAACCTTTGGCTGCGACATGTATGTTGAGTTAATAAGCTGTTTCCACATCTGCAGCATTACAATAAATGCATCTGAATGAGACCTTGGTCAGAGAAAGCAGAGGGGAGCAGAGACGAGCACAGACTCACCTGGCTATGTGGCGTTTTCCGAGGAACCTGAAGTGCTGAAGACACAGCCTGAAGAAAAGTAAAATGTAATATCTTTGGTGACAGGTGAAGGTTTGCTTGTTTTTAGTTGTTTTGTAAGTTAAGAACACAGGATAAATGAGGTGCATGGGATCAAACTGAGTCTAGATGCTGACACAAACAGGAAATACAGACAGTTAATTACTGCAACGTTCAGTGGATAGGGAGCTCACATTGGAATTTCAGTCTGTTTTGTTTTTCTTTCTTTTGCTGTGTCATTACTTTCATCTGTTCCCTTCTGGCTACGTTTTTCCCCCTTTTCTTCTCTCATCCTCACTGTCTGTCTCAATGTTTTTTTTGTATCTGTGTATCAGTATCATTAGTCAGCGTAAAAGGAGCCATGGTAACACTGCAACGATAAAAGAAAAGCACTTACTCCAGGATGTTAAAGAAGTCTGAGATCTCCTGGTGAATGGCCCTGTGCCAGTAGGACACCAGCACATCTGGAAACAGGTAAAAAAAGGCATCATGTCTCACACACACACACACACACACACACACACACACACACACACACACACACACACACACACACACACACACACAGCAGATTTCTTGAGGGCTATCAAGTGCCAATAATTCAATAATGGAAAAAAACTATCTAGTATGTTAGAAAGACACATGTTGTATAATAGCAAATATAATAACCAACTCCTGACTGGACTGTGTGAATCTTCCTTATGAATGTTGCTAAAATGTAATTCCTTACCCTCAGATATAGTTTTCATGATGTGCAAAAAGCACATGAGGAGACTGCGGGTCTCTGCCTGGTCCAGCTTGTCACAACGAGAACCGTAGCCTATGAGGGACTGCGGCCGAGCAAACTGAGGAAGAAATACAGTCAATGATATACTGTTAGTATTAGGGTTATTTTTTACGTAAATTTAAGGGTTTCAGCAAGCTGGAGGGAAATTTAGGTATAATGGGGATTTTAGGAGTTTTACTGCTTTCATGTCAACAACTAATGCATAAATAAACGTTTCAGCAATTCCCTTTAAAAACTGTATTCCAGGCAGGAGAAGGTTTGGCAACATCATTTATACCTGGGAAACAAAATTTACAGAACTTGTGACTGGACACTTCAGAAATGAAATATGAGAATTACTTATCTTTTTAAATATTAAGAGAGCTTGTTCTGGTACCAGTAAAGTTTGTAGCAGTGGATGTTGCTGGCAGCTGTATTTTGTAAAGTATTTTTTTTGCCTTTATTACATAGCATATGGAGAAGAAAGTGAGGAGAGTGCAGGTTACAGAGTTACATGTTTAGTCCTAAACCACCAGGACCTCTCAACTTCAGTATTTCTTTAGTTGGTATCATTTGGTTGGTAGCAGTATCCAACTCCACTAAAATGGAAGCCAATGGAAGTTTTTCTGCATACTCCTCTTTCAGAAATCCATATATAATGTAGAATTCATTATGAATGACTAACAATGAAGAAGATCCACTGTACATATCCAACATGTATTTATACAATTTAAGTTCTTCTGACAGATATGCTCTCTGTTCGTCTGCCAGAGTCAGAAATAAAGACCATATGGAGCGTGTCATAACACAGAACGTGATGTCTGTTTCTCTGCTTTCTTAACTCTTCTCTTTTCTCACCTTTTCACATCCATCCATCTTCTCACTGTTCCTGTCACTGTTGCTCGGGTTGGAGTCCACACTGATCAGAGAACCCCGAGAGTCGGCCTGGTTACCCGTGGCAACTGCTAAGGATGAGAAGGCTGGTGGACAGATGGAGGGGGAGGGGTGTCAGCATCAATGTCCTCATTCACACATTTTTATATAGACATCAGAAATACATATACAGCTACACACAGCTACCTGTGATGGAGTTCAGTACTTCTTTGGAAAATGAGGCATCTACAGAGTTGCCATGACGAGTAACAGGAATCACCCCTCCGGCCACTCCCCCTCCCACACTGAGGTCATCTCGAGAGCCCTGGTAGGGGTGCAGACAGGGGGAGGAAATATATTTTTTGTTACACCTGAGTCTTATTATTTTATGATCCAGGCTACAAACGTTGCCAAGACTTCAGAGACGAATTCACAACAGCACCCATGAGAGCGAGAGAACACAGGTCTCATGCAGTTCTCTCATGAAAATATGTATTTAACTCACAATATCCAGTTTTTATTACTATTCTTACTGATTTCACAATGAAAGTAAAAATTCAAAGTTACATTATAATCAACCGTTGCATTGCGGTACTTACACTTAAACTTGCAAGGTGATTCATGTACGGTTTTAATGAGCACACAATGTTTTGTTTACAGTGTGGTGGAAATCAAATAGAGGAGGACTGACAGAGAGCAGTCAGCAACACTGTAAATTTTAGGTGATTCCTGCGGTTACTGCAAACCTATAACAACTAAGGACAAGAGCCTGTGCTGCAAAGATTTGTCCAGCTTGGGAGTAAGTACAGAAAAGAAATTAAACTACAGTTAAAGGTCTAATTCAGGAACGAAAAAAATATCTTTTTTGTTAAAATTACAGCTTTAAAGCTTGTGTTGCTTGCACTAATGTGTGCTGGTGTCGGGTTGTGTTGAGAGTAAGTCAGGCATGGGGATTCTACCATGCCGGAAATCAGTGCAATTCAGGAGGTAACATGCCGTCATAAATAAAACAAGACCGATGTTGAATGTTTTCACCTTCAAACACTGCAGGGATATGTATGCCATTGCACACAGTCAATAAAAGCAGCACACAGAAAATCCATCATCATCTCTTACTTGGTCACTAGAAGTGAAGTAGATGGGGAAGAGGTCTCTGAGGAAGAATCGAGGCATGTTGTCCAGGATCAGGCCATACAGAGGCAAGTAGAGAGATGCAATCCTTGCCTGCTTTTCCTGCAGACAATGAAAGGGGAATTGCATTTTAAACATTTATGCATATTCTATAGGTGGTGACATTATGTTGTAATACCCCAACAAATCAACATGCTCTTTGATTTTTAATAAGCTAGTAATGATGTATTCAATATGCTCGCAAAGCCACTCAAAGTCCCCTTCTAATAAAAATAACACTGGGCCTCAGGAGAGTTCATTACTATTTAATTAATGTTGTGTTTAAGATTTGATGGTCTATATCTCTACGGTCTTTGGCTAATCTCTAGAAAATGTCAATGCAATTACACAATATTTAATACAGCCATTGTGGACTTTCATTAAATATGATTTTGCCAGTTTTATGCAGCCTCTGCACAACAGCCCTGCTGTTGACTTGTGGTTGGCAGTATTTGGTACTGTTTACCAGAGGGCAGATTACTGGCTCGCTCTGATCTGGTCACTTCCCAGCATTCATTAAGACCGTGTCTTTGCTGCTCACAGCTGCTACGAACAATCACATGTCAGTGTGTATGTGTTTGTATGAGTCACAAAGGAAGAATTCCTACTGTGAGATCATGACTCATTGTTCATGCTTTTTAGTTTCCTCCCGTGTAAACATGTGTTCTGGCTACCTTGGTGGCATAGCGTGCATCCAGGGAGTGTTTGGCCATTAGAGTCTTCAGGGTGGCCAAGGCTAGGTGTCTCAGGTCCTGCTCGTCCTGGAGTGCTAGCCCCAGTTCCCGTAGCAACAGGCCAGTCAGGAAGTGCTTCCTGCAGAACTCTCCGGTCAGGTTATACTCAGGCACCGACACTGAGGAGAGACAGCACAAATGATTCACATTTAAATGGAAATTAACTGACGTGCACGTGAGTTAAATAACGCTAATGCCAATATTTGCTTTCCATCAGGGAGTTAATTAATCCATTTCTAAATAAAATTCTGGTTAGAGTGAGCAAATAATGCGGCAAGCCAATTTTCCATGAATCTCATTATCATCATACCACTGTAGCAGACGCGCACCCCCCACACACACACACCCCCCCCCCCCCCACACACACACACACACACACACACACACACACACACACACACACACACACACACACACACACACACACACATATACACAGTAGCAGATTCAACATTACAAAGGAATGAGTGAACATATTTACCATGAGTACTTTGTGGCTCTGGGGATGCATGGTCTGACATGGACAAATAGTCAGAGAGAATGACAGAGAGAGAAAGAGAGAAAGACAGAGGGTTAATAGACAAATGAGAGTGAGAGCTACTTGATGTATGATTGTTACCACATTAACACCGAACAACAGGGTTTGACCTGGGCTCTTACCGGTGATGCGAGCAGAGGGTAAGGGCAGGCTGAGAGGGATGTAGTGTTCGTGGTTACACACCTCTCTCAAGAATTCGAACTTCAGCTCACACAAGACCTATCAGACACACAAAAATTAAAATCCAGAATAAAGTCAAAGTAAGCTGAAGTAATAAATCAATTTTGTTTCCCTGAAATTCCAAATTAGTTTTTACCTTGCTGTCAGTAGCAGTGATCATGTTTATATAGTTGCTAATCAGTTTGAACGTGAAGCCTCTGTCCATGAGAGTAAAGCAACGCTGCAAAGAGACAGACAGAAACCGGAGATCAGACCAGCTAATAATACAGTGAGAGATAGATAATTTAATACAGGAATCAATAGGCAACAATTGTAAATGGAAACGATTTTCATTTGCAGACTGTTTAAAGAATTTGTATGGATCCCTCCCTGAGCAATATACAGTAAGCTTAATAGCACAGTTCCCTTCACATGTCCCACAGCATAAGTAACCTGTCTATTTATTATAGCCATTAGACACATTTTGAACCCACCTTGACAAAAGCTGCTACAGCTAAGTTGGCACTGCGTGTCTCTTCTGCCAGGTCTTTGTTCTTCCAAAAAATGTGTTCGGACACCGTCTCCACCAGGGTCTCCACACGACTCAGGTAGGAAGAGGGGAAACGCTGCGGCCTCGGAAGCTGCAGGAACACAGAGTCAGCATAACGTATTAATGAACTATGTGCCAGCTCAGTTTATACAAACGAAAAGGAACTATAACCGAACCGAGAATAATAAGTGGTTACAAAATGCGATGTTTTCAGGAATGGGGGAATTTGGAGTATGCCACCTTACCTTCGTCTTGTCAGAGTCGACCAAATTTTGGGCCATGGACTTGATAATCAGCTCAAAGAAGAACCAGGAGAACTGAAACCAGGAGAGGTAAGCAAGGTCAATCTTGTTTCAGAGGGCATATACATGAGTTTTGCACTGATTTACTTTTCTCTAGGACCTTAGAGGCACAAACAACAGTTTCAGTAATTATTCAGTTAAAGTTTTCCATTTCAGAATAAATAAACTGAAGAGTAGGTATGAGAGAGACAAACCTTCAGGACATTCCTGACTGCTGCCTGCTCATTGCTCTTCAGGTCAAAGGTCATCCCCTTAGCCAGCTCCTCGTGAACTGTCCTGAAGCCGTGGGCCTCTGACTTGAACACATACTACACACAGAGAGAAGGTGAACAGAGTCAGAGGTACACACGCATACATAGTAGGGCTGCAGCATGCAACAAAATTCCCCACTCAGATGCCAGGTTTATTGCAGTTCACGGTCTGTAGCTGCAACATATAGTCGATTGAAAAAAATGGCAATTATTTGGATAACTGCTTAATCGTTAAATTAATTCTTCAAGGAAAAATGCCTACAAATTTGACAGTTCTCAAATAAGATGATTTGCTGCTTGAATGATTTGTTGGAAAAAACCAAACATTTAATGAGTTGCAGCCCCAGTCCTAACCTCTAGCTCACCAGGGTGCCCCAATTTGCTGGTTATTATCTAGATTAATCTATTCGTCGTTTGGTCGAGAAAATGTAAAAAAAATAATGAATATTCAGATGTCTCATCCAAACCAACAACCCAAAACCCCCAAATATTCAGTTTTTAATGGTACAAAACAGAGAAAATTCCAATTGGGAAGCTGGAACTGGAGAATATTGGGCATTTTTTAGAAGAAAATAATGGGTTATCAAAATTCTTGCTGATTAATTTTCTAGTCAATTCATTGTTTCAGAACTAATATGCACACATTCACAAATAACCACTAAAACTGGAACAAGGGAAAAAAATGTAATATCTTGTGCACGGTTTGATTCAAATAATAGTACTGCAGACTACTCAATTCATACCACAGTGAATTCAACCATCCCCCCCCTTTCCCATTGAACACACACACACACACACACACACACACACACACACACACACACACACACACACACACACACACACACACACACACACACACGTTCACACATACACACACTCAGCAGTTTAAATTGGGCACCACTACTACTGTACATCATGCCAATCTGTTACTATGGCAACCCCAGTTCCATTAGCTCTGCTAGTCCTCTCCTCTTACCTCCCACCATTCGTCTCTGCCACTACCTCTTCAAGCGCTGCAGTTTTCCATCACTGTGGCCAACATCAAACAGGTCTTGTGGTTTCTCCTGCTCTCTTCTCTAATTCTCTGACTGATTTTTCCCCCCTAAACAATCATGCCTTGTGTTTCTGATTGAGCCGGCTGAATGTCCTAGTTTGCCTCCTACTCAATCACCCTTTCTTCTCTTCTTCTTCTTCCATTCTTCACAATTTTGTGTGTGTGTGTGTGTGTGTGTGTGTGTGTGTGTTTGCACAGTGTTCTGGGCACGCGGCCCTAGCCACACTCCTGCTGGTCCAAACACACACACACACACACACACACACACACACACACACACACACACACACACGCATATAAACACATAAAGCCCCCTTTTCTATTTTTTCCCTCAGAAACTAAATAGTCTGTGCAGAGACTCCACTCCTTAATGGAAAACAACAGCCTTCAAATCTATCATATGATCTTCCTGAGCAGACACATCCATCACTGTTGGAAGGAGAACTGCACGCACACCACGCACAGCATCTTCTATGTCATTATACCTTGATATAGGAGTGCAGGTAGTGATCCAGGTTTTCTTCATGGCACTTTGCTACAATGTGGACCAGCACTCTGCAGACACAGGACAACACCAACAAATTATTTTATTTATTACAACCTTCATCCTTAAACATTGACAAAAAGCTTTGTTTCTTTGTTTCTCTTCAAAAGCAGGCAGAAATTGTTTTTATCAAAAAAAATCGTATGATAAAGTCATAAATTAACAATAAAAATGGGATGTAGTGTTCTGAACTGGAATTTTAGTGCAGTTAAGTATTTATTTTTATTTTTTATAAATTAGGTGCTTTCCTCACTGTGTGCTTCACCACATCTGCTGAGCCCTCACCCTGATGTGAACCCAGTTGTTATGGACATTGTAGTACCACAACCTACCTGGTGGTGGCAGTGGTGACCTCATCGTCGTCATTCTGAGTCAGGACCTTGAACAGCTGGTTGAAGAGCACTGGCAGAAATCGGATGATCACTGGGATTCTCTCCATACTGAGAAGACCCTGGAGAAGGGTGGAAGAGAGGAGGAGGAGGAGGAGGAGGAGGAGGAGGAGGAGGAGGTGGTGGAGAATGTGAAGGGTGGAAATAAATAAGAAACATCAACTATAAAGAGCGAATTTAACAGTGATCAGGACTTAAGCCCTTGGTTTTTGTCTTAGTCATAATACACGAGGGGATATAGTGCCTTTTCTCTGACCTTCAGGCAGTTGATGAAGTTGGAGGTAGGAGATTGTGAGAGGTCCAGCTCTCTCTTTTGGCACTGCTGGAAGAATCGGTTCAGGTGGGGGTCCTGGCACAGAAAGAAGAACCCATGAATATCAGCAGTTAGCATCTGCTATAAGACTTAATGGACTGGTTCCTTTTTATAGAACCAGTGTGTAGGATTCAGAGGCATCTAGCGGCGAAGTTGAAGACTGCAATCATTTGAATACTGCTCATCTTTCTAAGAGTGTAGAAGAAACTACAGTGGCCGCGAAACATGGTGGTTCAGCATGGTGGCCTCTGAGGAAGAGGACTCACTCCCTCTAAGGTAACGAACTCACAACTTATGAGATGACTATACACTAATGAACACTAGACACTAATGAAAACCTACCTATCAATATCATATTCAATGCAAGTTTATTGTGACTGTTGACATGTGATCGTTTTTATTTATAATTTTTTTAGTGCTTCTTTGCCTTTATGAGTTAGGACAGCTGGAGCATGACAGGCAAGGGGAAAGAGAGTGGGTCACATGAAGAAAAGGGCCACAGAACGGACTCAAACCCATGGCCACAACAGCAAGGACCCAGTCTTGCTACATGGGGCACCAGCTCTACCAGGTGAGCTACCAGGGCACCTTGTGACACGTTCTTTAGGCAGACAATTGTACAATAGCAAGTTTTGTTGTTCTGTGTAGTGAAAAAGGTACCAAGAACATCAATTTCCATGTTTTTATATCATCTTGAGAGCAGGGTTTCCTCTTGAGCTTTTTGAAATGACAACATGAGTTTATATTCTTTATTACTTTAGAAGCCCATGAATGGATTTACTTTTTATATTTATTTTTTATTATTTATTCTTATTTTTAATTTGTCTATAAAAGCATTTTTAAATGTCCTTTATAAATCTGTGTATTTAATTTGTCTTTTATAAAGTAAGTGCAAGTAAAACTAAACATAGGCTGGTCTAATTTACAACCCACCAGCCAATCAAGATATTGCTGTGCAGCGCTCCAAACATCCTCTACTAGCAAACTGGAAACAGACCGTGCCATTTCTTCGTTTCATGTCTCACACTACATAAGAGGAAGTTACCACTTTTACCATCCATTAATGCTGATTGTGCATCTTGGGCTCACAGTGCATTTGTTTATATAGTTTACATGCTGTATAATTTGTTTAGGACATCTAATGGTCATTTTATGTCAATTTCATAGTTCCACTTAAGCAGACGCCATTCATTTTAATTCTGCCGGAGAAAGCTGAGATGGAACAGCTCAGAAAATTAAAATGGCAAATCACCACAATGTTCCAACCGACCATCCATTTTCTATACCAATTATCCTGTTCAGGGTCATGTGGAGCTATAACATATTCCAACATACATTACCAGTATCAAGTATCAGTAAGCCAGTAGAAACAAAGAAAGCGGGGAGAGGCTGCAGAAACCCAGTTTATCTGGTCTTACCTGAGTATATACTGTGGAGACAACATTGGTGGACACTTTGAAGATAGCTTTTCCTCCATCGACCCATTTCACATCTGCTCCATTCTATAAAAAGAAAAGACAGCTTGAGTCTTACACTGGGGAAAAAAAATCACATGCTCAATATCCCTTTTTTCTCACAAATTCTCATAAAAAATAAATATTTTTATTATTCAGCACCAGAATTTTTAATATTTATACTCCCTGTGCACTCCTCCCTCCCTCCCTCTTTCACTTTCCTTTCTCCTTCCTCCTTCTCACCTTGGTGTTGCTGGCTTCCTTGATGGCCAGGTACCCGGGCGGCAGGTTACAGGAGACAGAGATGCTGAACTCCTGAGATGACAGACGACCTTCTTTGAGGAGAGGCAGCCAGGAATACCCCACTAAAAAAGGCACAGGCAAATAAACAGAGTCATGAATAGTGGACAGGACCAATCACAAAATGTACTGCTGCATAACAAAAGGTTTCACAACATTGCAGCTCCATATCTACCACAACTCACCTGGGGTCTCCAGGGTTTCTTTCCTCTTAGCATTTGTCTTGGCGTTGATGTCACAGGTGACGTGGTAAAAGGAGAAAAGAAGGTGGTGCTTTTCATGAAGTTGAGTGGGAAGCTCAATCTTCACCTGGGGGCACAATATCATGTAATTGGTTATAATATAGGCAGGAAGGAATGCTGCAGATTGGCAAGTTATATGTTAACATGTTCGTCATGTAAAGCTAAAGTCAGTCCAGGTTCTAATGACGTCTAACCTCATCGTAGAAGTCGGGGTTCTGGGAGTGATGCAGGACTGTGGAACAGGCTGCTGTGGTGAAGACCGGACTACCTGGCTTGCCATAGATGCACTAGAAAAACAGCAATAGAAAAAGTCATGCTCGGCCAGTTTCTCATGATAGACAGAGTTTTACTGGGGAATATGGACTTGTATAAAAGTCAATAAATGTCCCATCAGCATGTTTCTGGACAGCGTTCTACCTTTAAAGGTTTGGCAACTTCTTCGTCCGAGCTGCGGAACTCCACATAGACTGCAAGGTTACGAGCCTGTGAACAAGAGGACCATTGTAACATTAATAATTGTCAAAAACAGTGAATAAAATAAAAGTATATGAAGTATGTGAAAAACGAGGCACGCTGTAAGCAATTGTACAGTCCGTGACTTTGGATCCTTTTTACAATCCTCAACTCAGGCTCCTCTTAAACTGCGCTTTGTTGTTAAAACTACCGTGATATACCTTGGCAAAGCTCTTCTGGCTGTCATATTTGAGGTGTTTAGGGTAGACGTAGATGTGGTTTCTGTACACACGGTGTGGCTGTGTGAACTTGGTAGAGTCCTGGACAAACTCCTCCACCTCCACAGTAGGCTGGTGTTTGCTTAGCTCTTCAAATGGCTTCACTGGTACATAGGAGGATGTCACACAGTCTGAAAGCACAGAGAAGTAAGACTTTCAAACACAGCAGAATGGGAACATGAATAAACGCAGAGGGGAAGTATTGCTTATAAGACGGACGTACTGGGATGCTCCATTGGAATATAGTCGACTGCAATGTCCAGCGTCCCAGGAATAGTCTGCAGTTTGCTGGTCTTCTCTGCCCTGCACACACAGAAATAAAATGAAAAAAGAATGTTTATCTTGCCTTAGAGATGAAACTTTAAAGAAGTGACCTACTTTACAGGTAAAGCCTACAGTACTTCTTACCTCCTGTACTCAGCTACCAGCTTAATCAGGTCATCAGTGGAAATCTTGTTGCTCTCTTGTTTGAAGAGGGGTGAGAAACGAGACTCTCTGTCCAGTGCCCCATGGTTGTCTTTAAACACAGACCTATAATATGTAGAAAGAGATTAGATCCTGTGAAGAGAACACAGTAGATACATTTTGTGTATGTTTAGACGAGTCCAACCAGTAGCACTGACCTGACGGACCAGGCAAATGGCATACGGTACTTTCCCAGTTTACTACAGAACTGTTTGTTGGATTTCAAAATCTTCTGAACAATCTGCAGCAGACAAAGATGGAAAGACAGACATGTTAGCCATATTTTTAAATACAATGGGATGTGATCAGCCCTAAATTCTTGCTAACCTATACAGAGTGACAGGCTAAATCATAGGTTGTTTAATACAGTAACTCTGGCAGCAGGTTGAATGTCTGGTGATTCACTTAGCCGTTTAAACAAGGACCACATGGAGCACTGCCAGTGGGGGAGCCAGGAAATGTGTTGGATGTGATCTCGGAGAAACCTAATTTCAAAACTATCCGACCAGACTGGCATTCGTTGATGAAGATAAACTCTGGCCTTACAGGAAACCCACTTTGTAAATGCCATGCATTACACTGTTTGAGTAGATTAAGCCATTTCCCTTACAATAAATGCCCTAACAGCGTGTTTCATGAGCCTTTTTTCATAGTTTGCTTCAAGAAACAAGACAATGTAAAAGGTTTAGATTTACATTGTCGTTGATGACAGAAAATAAATGTAAATACTGATGCAAAAGTGCCAGTGAGATTGACTTTCTCACCTTGCCGGAGTCTGTATTCTTAATATAAGGTTCTGTCCCACAAGCAATATTTCCCATCAGCACCTTTTCCACTCTTGCCACCATCACTATGTCTGTGTGGGGGTTGGTCACTGAGAAGATGGCCTGCATGGAGAGCATTGGAAAGGGATATTAGAGTCCATGTTAAATGCAGAGTGAAGGATGGAAGGAAAGTATTCCTCATTTGTGTGATCTATATCTATAAACCATACTGTGGGTGTAACATCCTTGTACCTGTTTGGGAAAGCACAGCCAGTGGTCCAGTTCCAGGCTGAGGTAACAGTCTCCTGGCTTCTTCTCAGCAGGAGAGCACAGGCCATTTTCCTGACCTCCAACACCTGTCCCAGGACCACCTGTCCCGTTGCTGCAGCCTCCGAGCATCTGACGCACTGTCTCTTGGTTGAGGTCTACGTGGAAGTCTGCAGACAACTTTCTCCCTTCTCGTACATCCAGCAGAGCCAGCGACACGAAGAAGGGTTCAATCTAGTGGATCAGATTCAATTTGGTCATTGTCAGTTCTTTCATATATATAAAACCTTAACCCTTCAACATGCTTTCAGAACATATCATGCATCTGAATTTAACAGAGTCCTATAATGACTTTAGTCCCTCTGAAATTGATAATCTTGTCGATAGTGCTACAGGCTCACTACGATCAACATTAGACTCTATCGCTCCTATAAAAAGGAAATTATTAAAACATAGGAGACTAGCACCTTGGTATAACCACCAAACCCGCCAGTTAAAACAAATAGCTAGAAAATCTGAAAGGAAATGGCGCTCTTCCAAATTATCAGAATATCGCTCAAATTGGCAAGATGATCTTAAGATTTATAGAAAGGCCCTCCGTAATGCCAGAGGAGCCTATTACTCAGCACTAATAGAAGAAAATAAGAACAACCCTAGGTTCCTCTTCAGCACTGTAGCCAGGCTGACAGAGAGTCACAGCTCTATCGAGCCACATATCCCCATAAACTTCAGTAGCAATGACTTCATGAGCTTCTTCTATAATAAAATTATTACTATTAGAGAAAAAATTAATCACCAACTGCCATCAACAGTTATCAGTGGCTCTCCAAGTTCAGGGACTTCTGTCAATGTAAACTTAGATGTATATTTAGACTGTTTTTCTGCTATCGATCTTCATCAGTTAACTTCAATCATTTCTTCATCGAAGCCATCAACCTGTCTATTAGACCCGATCCCAACTAGGCTGCTTAAAGAAGTTGTTCCCTTAATTGGCACTTCTTTACTGGATATGATTAATCTTTCTTTATTATCAGGATATGTACCACAGTCCTTTAAAGTAGCTGTAATTAAACCCCTTCTTAAAAAGTCCACTCTTGACCCAGGGGTTTTAGCCAACTATAGACCGATTTCTAACCTCCCGTTCCTCTCTAAGATTCTGGAGAAAGTAGTCGCCAAAGAGTTGTGTGACTTTCTACATAACAATAGTTTATTTGAGGATTTTCAGTCAGGATTTAGAGTTCATCATAGCACAGAGACAGCTCTGGTTAAAGTTAATAATGACCTTCTGACTGCTTCTGACAATGGACTTGTCTCTGTACTTGTATTATTAGATCTTAGTGCTGCATTTGACACCATTGACCATGATATTCTTTTACAGAGACTTGAGCATCAAATTGGCATTAAAGGAACTGCCCTAACCTGGTTTAAGTCATACTTATCAGATCGTTCTCAGTTTGTACATGTTAACGATGAATCCTCCATAAATACTAAAGTTAGTCATGGAGTTCCACAAGGTTCTGTACTTGGACCAATACTATTTACTTTATATATGCTCCCTTTAGGCAACATTATTAGGAATCACTCCATTAACTTTCACTGTTATGCAGATGATACGCAGTTATATCTATCAATCAAACCCAATGAAATTAATCAATTATCTAAATTACAAACATGTCTTAAGGACATAAAATCCTGGATGACCTGCAATTTTCTGATGTTAAACTCAGAAAAAACCGAAATTCTTGTTCTTGGCCCCAAAAACCTTAGAGACTCATTGTCTAAAGATATAGTCACTCTAGATGGCATTAACTTGGCCTCTAGCACCACTGTCAGGAATCTTGGAGTTATCTTTGATCAGGATTTGTCATTTAACTCCCACATAAAGCAGACCTCTAGGACTGCCTTCTTTCATTTACGTAATATTAGAAAAATTAGACACATACTATCACAGACAGATGCAGAAAAACTAATCCATGCATTTGTTACTTCAAGGCTGGATTACTGCAACTCTTTATTATCAGGTTGCCCCAATAAGTCCATTAAAACGCTCCAATTAATTCAGAACGCTGCAGCACGAGTACTGACAGGAACTAGAAAAAGAGATCACATCTCTCCTGTACTAGCTACTCTGCATTGGCTCCCTTAAATGTGAATTAATTTAAAATCCTCCTCCTCACCTATAAAGCTCTTCATGGTCAGGCCCCTTCATATCTTAAAGAGCTCATAGTACCCTATTACCCCACTAGAACACTACGTTCTCTGAATGCTGGGCTACTTGTGGTTCCTATAGTCTCTAAAAGTAGAACAGGAGCCAGAGCCTTCAGTTACCAAGCTCCTCTCCTGTGGAACCAGCTTCCAGTTGTGGTTCGGGAGGCAGACACCCTCACCACATTCAAGAGTAGGCTTAACACATTCCTCTTTGATAAAGCTTATAGTTAGGGCTGGATCAGGTGAGTCCTGAACCATCCCTTAGTTATGCTGCTATAGGCCTAGACTATCGGGGGGATTTCCCATGGTGCACTGAGCTACTCTCTTCCTCTCTCTTTCTGCACTCATTCATGTCCCTTTAATGCATGTTACTAACTCCACTTCTTCCCCGGAGTTCTTGTGCTTTCTCGTCTCGCAGGTTCTCATGGATCCTGGTGGAGCCTCCTGCCATGGTCCTGCTTGACTGCCATTGCCAATACTGTTGTTGCTGTGCACCTGTCTGTCTGTCTCTCTCTGTCTGTCTGTCTGTCTGTCTGTCTGTCTGTCTGTCTGTCTGTCTGTCTGTCTGTCTGTCTGTCTTCTCTCTCTCTCTCTCTCTCTCTCTCTCTCTCTCACCCCAACTGGTCGAGACAGACGACCACCCACCTAGAGCCGGAGGATCTGTCCTAGGTTTCTGCCTTTTAACAGGCAGTTTTTCCTTGCCCTTGTCGCCAAGTGCTTGCTCATGGTGGTACTGTTGGGTCTCTGTAATTAATGTTAAAGAGTTCGGTCTAGACCTGCTCTATTTGAAAAGTGTCCTGAGATAACTTCTGTTATGAATTGGCGCTATACAAATAAAATTGAATTGAATTGAATTGAATCATTATTCCCTTCTCTGCTGCACATACCTAGAACTATTCTTCCTATTCTTATGGAAATCCTACCATGGATTAAATCAAGTACAAAGCAAATAGCTTTTAGCACTGACAGATTTTAGCTCCATTCTATTTATTTTACAGACACCTACTAATGGAAAAGTCAGTTTCGAAACATGTTTAAATAAAAATGTGAAAGGCAAATGTTTCTAATCCTCACATTGGTGACCGGTCCAGTTTCACTCTCGTTGATGCAGCCCTGCAGCATGAGGTTGAGTGATCGGCAGGTTATCATAAACCTTCTGCCCAGTTTTTCCTCAAACGGACGCACCGCTGCGTTCTCAACCGATGAATGTTCGGTCCGTGGGCTCCTCAGAACCTGCAGTCAGTGAAACACAGCTTGTTACTTGGAGGCTCTCTTTACTTTATTTTACCAAAGTGGAATCATTGAGTAGAACTGAGGGAATTTTACTCTGCAGCATCATGAAAAACATAAACACTAGATTAATGTCATAAAGTATAACAATGCATGAAGTCAGAAAGAAAATATAAAAATATGAACAGTGCAGCCAAATTGTTTATACTTACAGGAGTATCAGGGTCCAGCGAAAACAGATTCAACCTCTCTTCTCTCCTGGCAGAGCGAATTCCTTCATCTGTCTCAGATATATACTGTTACAGAAGAGATGGCCGGAAAGATGAAAAGGATCAAATTGATGCAAATAATAAACTGGTTATTATGAATTATGATATCAGTAAAAACAACAAAGTTCTCTGTTTTTGTTTTTTCAGTGAGTGGTACATAATGGAAACTGTACTGAAGGTCGGGATGGGATGGGATAGAAGATTATTAATACCAATGTCAGTAGCGATTCTGCTTTTCGGTCAGATTCTATTATCGGTTTCTTTACTGATTTCTGATTCAATTTTCTGTGTTGACAAAAAGTAAGCCTACGCAGGTTTTCAGCATCAATACAACTGTCTGACCACAGCATAGAAATACAGTTATAGTAGTTTTGAGACGCACAAGTTTGACAACCTTAACTTAAGTCACCTTAACCTTAAGTCATTGTTTTGCAATGCGTAACTGTCAAAAAAATATGCCGGCATTGATAAAAGGAATCGATAAGTTTAGGCATACAATTCCAATGGATTGGACAATTTGGAACTGGTTTTCAACTGGAACCAGTTCTCGATTCCCATCCGTAAATGGAGAAGCAGCAGAGTTATATCATCACTTAAATGAGGAGGTTTCAGCTTAGCAAACCTTTGCTAGCTCTGGATTGATGCCGTTTTCTGTCGTAGTATCTTCATTCTCCTGCAAACAGCAGTCACTCAGCGACAGGTCGAACACATCTGGAGAGAGAACAAACACAATACGGATTCCTGAGACTGACTTTTGTTTATGAGTGATTGACAGCTAACAGTGAATGGAAAAGTTTATCTAAGCAGTCCATTGCCCTCCTGTAGGTTAAAAGCCATTTAACATTCTCTAAAATATGTTTTGCAGTACACCAAATACACACTAACCAGAGTCAGTGGACATATATCCATCTCAGAATAAAATATAACTCCATTTGTGGTATTTATGGATAATAACGCGGGCAGGCTTCTGCAGAAATATAACTTTCATGTGCCTGGAGCAATTCTTCCCAAAGGCCATGCTGAACAAAATGGCTCATTAATGGTAGGTCACCACATGCCTGATTTAGAGGCATGCTAACAGACCACACAGCCATGGCGGCTGAGGCTATTACATCATTCCACCACTCTTCACTGGCCCAAGTCTCAATGCTCTGTCAGGGTGTGTTATGTTACAGGCTGTGGTCCCATGCCCATGCACTCACAGAGCTGGCACATAAAGTTGAGTTTTATGACTTTTGCTTCCATGTTAAAGTTTTTTTTTAATAACAAAGCATAATGTATTAAACAAAGGTGGAGTCACTAGTCGGTGTCAGGCCTCATTTCCTGATAGTGATTTTATGGATTGAGCACCAACACACCAGAAATTCCTCATTAGGGTTGTGGCAAGATGGCAGATATTATTTAGTCAGAGTAGAGTAAGACAGAAAGGAAAAGGTTACATTTTTGCTGACACTGAGTATAAAATCATTCCTCTCTTAAGGGCACCATGATTTATACATGTGCTGGAAATATGCTAAAATTTCCTCTTCGTCTCTCTTTAAATGCCCCCTTCTCCTCTAATTTACCATTTGTGCTTCCATCCCTTTTGCTCTCTCCAACTGTTTTTTCAGTTCCCTCTCTTTATATCCATCATAGGTACACTTTGTGTATCCCTAAATACAAAAATAAATCCAATCTCACCCTGCCGATGATCTGTGAGGTCCAGACTCTTGCGGTCAGGAGCCGGACCGTCGTGGGGACTGATCTGTAAGATGCGGGTCAGCGTGCTAATCCACTCCTCCATGTCCTGCTCGCTCTCCGCAGCCAGCACGAAGTATGTAACCTCGTTCATCTTCAGCTCAAAGGCATGTTTCCTTAGGCGGTTATTCTTTAGGGGGATGAAGGGAAGGATAGATAGGATAATGTGGTTACACAGCAAAACCAAAGCTTGGTTCCGTTTTTTGGAAAATTGGACTCAGAAAAAGTATTTTAAATATCAAAAAGCCTACTGTTAATACCTTTTATTTAACGCTTTTCTCAGAGACATTAAATCATGTATGCACAGTTGCATTTATCTACCATGGTTGTGGGTACAGGAAGTCCTATGTAAGGCTAACAGAGTGTCTCCTTTTTAATTAAACTTTATAGGTTTGTTAAAATTACCATCCATATGTGGAGAAGTTTATTGTACCTTTAGATAGATAGATGGATTTATTTGACAGTGATAAGGTAAATACTGTAAGACTGCATATACAATTAACGGCAGATGATAACAACACAATAAGGCTAAAACTCAATTCCATTGTGCTCCTTGTAAGAAAGAGGAAGCTGCAACTCCCAAAGCCACATCCTGTACATCCAGCAATTACAGTAAGTTAAGCTAGACAACTGAGTCTTTAAACTTCACGCAGACATACAATTGACAAACCTAGGTTTTCCAGTCACTGGGTAAGTAAAAAAAACCACAATTTAAACTAAGATAAACTTAGAAGCAACACAATAATATCTTGATTTGGCATGTAATGTCATTGTGCCCTTCATTGCCATGCCACGAGCCAAATTTTATAGCAGTGCAACTGTAAAACACAATGTAACCTCATAAAAGATCATTCTTACTCAGTTAAATGTCACTTTGTCTGACTTTATTCTGCTACTCAGTTATGTTTACAGATGGATGCTCTGATGGAGGTCGAACAAAACCTTTCAGATGTTTTGCTATTTTTGCTTCCACCCGCTTCTTGTGTGTGTGTAGTAGTTTTGGAGGGAATGGAGCCTCCCTATATCACTCTAAATATAAAAGTCTACATGTTTACAATATAATGAGCACTGTTTTGCGCTCTTACTTATATGAATACTTTAAAACCCACCTGTACCACACCAGTGCATGAGTCAAGGAAGATGCACCCTTTGGGTTCCTTGGAAATCTTCTCATCTTTGTAAAAGTTCATGATGTAGGAGTTATCTGTCAACTGGGTGAGCTGAAAATATCTCCTCTTAAATGACTGCAAAAATAGAATAAGGATCAAATACATTAATCTGGTAAGGACAGAGTCATAGGCATCTAATTATTTAGGCTATGTACAAAATATGACCCCAAAAAATGAAAAGAGATTGTAGGATGATTTTAAGTGTAATTTAAGAAGGAGAGATCCTTCTTACACCACAAAAAGTAATATAGATGGTGACATATTGATAATACTTCTTGCAAAATCACCCTTCCAAATTCACTCAGGGTAAAAATGTGTTCAAGTTCAAGTTTACCAGGTCAGAGAGCAAGGTAAAACATTTCAGCTGAAAACAGGGGGAGATCTGAGCATTGGGGTGAAAAGGTAAGACAGAAATGGAGTGTGTGCATGAAAAGGGAGAGCATCAGACATTTCCTCACCCGAACAGTTATGCTATTGTTGACGGTGCTGTTGAAGTTCCCTTTGTAGAGCCAGCCTGACCGAAACACACCGATCCCTCCCCCTCCTCCTCCACCACCACCTCCCCCTCCTCCTTTGGACGAGGACAGTGAGGTGGTATCCTGTAAAGCACAAATATGATCAGTTATAGATACATTAGCAAAGAGGAGCAGATGATCAATAGTGAAAAGGAGACTTTCCGAGACTCATTCTATCTTAGGATGGCTATTTGTCAGTCAAATTATGTTCATAAACAATGTCCCACTGACCCGTAACAAGCTAACTGCTCTTGCAAAGTATATTTTAACAGCTTTAAGGCTGTGATAAACCAATTTAAACAGGGGGCTCAGGATGTATCCAGTATGTAATGCATTCATTCTAAAAGCATTTGTCAAGAAGATGGTCATTACTGACCTCATCCTTGTCCACATCCTCGTAGTCAATCTCAAAAGAATGGGATGGCAGCTTCTCTGCCTTGTACAGTTTCCTATAAAGGAATGGGGAAAGAAGAGAAGACAAATGTGAAACTCTGATAATGAAATATATTGATGGAAAGAGAAAATGATTTCAGGAATTTAATTAATCCACTCTATCTGAGTGGTGCAAATGACTGTGGGTGGCTGACTCTGCTCCAATCATTCTCTGTCAGGAGTCAACAATAGGTAGTCCTCGATCCCGCTCCACTGATTTCACAGGCTGACCCGTCTTTGTGTGTGAGCCTTGGGATAAAATGCCTTTGTGTGTGTGCTGTGAGCTGCAGACAGCGAGGCTGCAGGCTGTGGAGGGTAACGCTGGAACCACCCTCTGCTAAAAGTCACACAGTCGTAAAAAAGCTGTCTGAAAAAATCTCTTAAGGGGACTATGTTTAGAAGATTTCTGGCGATTGCGGGCTGGCCACTGACAGAGGAATGCTAATATTGGCCTGCACAGATGAAGATCGCTTCACTCAATCACAGTGGTGACAACCACACATATACAATAGCTGTAGATTCCCCATTGTACTACGGTTTCCCCTTGTGTTTTTCCCTACAAACCCATAAGCTTGCAGTTTATGGCTGGTTAGCTTGTTAACCGTATAAACAAACAATATAACAGTAGTGCTTGTGCTTTTATGCTACTTCCACAGCTACAGTTATGACTGTGCTCCAACTTGTGTTTACGCTGCATCTTACTTTATAGTTCATCCTGGCTGTAGGTTTAGAGGTTATGTGAACTGACTGAAAGAATACAGAGGCGACCCATGGGACAGAAAAGGGACATTCCTGTGGTTGAGAGCAGTAACTGCAAGGCTGCTCCGGGTCAGTCTCACTGGGACTGACACAACACCAGTTGACTGACTGACAGCCTGATTTAAGTAAACGACTGACTGACTGAATGGGCGTCTGACTGGTTGATTGACATTTCAAAAAGGGACAGAGGGAGCACTGAAAGTAGACATTTGTTAGAGTGGGCTCGTCCTCAGTCTTCCACTCTTACTTCATTCTCACTCAACACCAGCCACCATCATGTTGTCGTTAATGACCTTCCACCTCTGTGTAACAAATTGTGGTTATCCTTTAATGTTAGTGGTTACTTCTGGGTCAGGGTGTTTATGAGGAAAAGAGTCCAGCACATCTTTAATCAAGCCAAGAAGTCAAACAAATATGAATCCACTGAATTTCCAAACCATTATACATTGCAAAATATTGTATAGAATAAAACAACTGTACATGAGAAAATGCTTTTTGACATAACTACTGCTGTAACAGCAAAGGATACACCTATAAGAACCTAAGAGTGCCGATTGAAGCTATTCTGTATTACTGCTAATACTGTGTTTTGGTGCCAGTACGAAAAAGGTACTTTTTCAATACTTAATACAAACACAAGTGCTGTCAAACGAAAACCTTGTCTAAATTTTCTAAAACTACCTGATCAGAAAATAATAAAACAAGATCACAAATCTGATTAAAGCCAGCTTTGACAATTACAGAAAATCTACAGAACCATTTCAAACCAAAAAAGTGATCCATAAGAACCCAATAAGAAAGTTTTGGTGGAGGTTAAAGAAATGTTTAAGACATTTTCGAAAATGCACTTATCTGAATCTTTGGCAAAAGTTAGAGACTGTTATTGACACGTTATATCTTGTTTGTTTAATTGGTACAAAAATCGAATTATGTGAATGACAAGTTGTGTTTTACGAGGTGGTTATGTGCAATGACTCCCTGGTGACGCCATTGGTCGCCTGCCAACCTCATTGTGACTCCAAGAAGTCATTGGACCTGCCCAAGAAGTAGTCTAGCACACATAACACAGGCTAGCGTTTTCCCCATGCTTCCAGTCTTTATACTATGCTAAGCTAACCATCTCCTGGCTGTAGCTTCATCAATGTTCTCCTCTTCAAGAAACTGAAGTCTATTTCCCAAATGAATGAACTAATCCTTTAAATCCCATGCAGCAGACACAGCAGACAAGCTTATATAGAGTAATGTCAATGTGTGTTACCTGGGCAGCAGGCGGTAGTCTCCAGCGTAGTCGTCATACTTGAACTGGACCACATTTAGCTCAGAGTTGTAATACTTGCAGGCCTGGGGGAGAGGATAAGAGATTGAATTGAATATGATTAAATATTAACTTTCCAAAATGATGGCCTCTCTGAGAAGATTGGACCTGGGGCAGCTGGAAAGTCTGCAGAAAATGAAGAAAGCTACACGGAACTGAGACAGTACAGTCCGACCTCAGATCTCCTGAGGCCTAGTTACTGATGTGCAGGCTGGGATTCATCATTAGATTATTTAAATTACAAAAAGGAACTGAATTAAGACTCTGTCCCCGAGGAATCTGCAAATAAAAGATATCGTAACATCTTAATAGATTACTTGTCTGTCTCAGGGGTTGCAATAGTACTGTCACAGGGCGTGTACTATTACTATGTATTGTACATACACAAGTCACAAAGGCTGGAAGGCAGCTCCACATCCTCCGTCTGCTTGTTGAACGCGTGTGTCGCTATTCTCTTTAATCCATTTGTTTAGAGAGATCCTAATCTTTTGTTAACAATGTCACAAATTATAAACACACCAAACATATTATCAGCTACAATATTGACCTCAGACAGAACAGCACGCACACACATGCACACACACATGCAAAAAGAGTCAGACACACATATGCTAGTCTCTAGTGAGCTGTGAAAGTACTGTCTGGGGGGTTTCCGTCTACTCAGATATTATTTCTCCGCTGAGCCCTTTAGATTATGGCTGTACGATCTGAAATGAACCCTGATAGTCCTAGCGTATGAACACACACACACACACACACACACACAAGATAAGACACACACATCTGGTTTATTTTAGAAGAATGGGGAAACTGCTCCACCGGTGTGAACATATCCTATATTAAGAACACCTAGAATGACAAGCTTAACCACCAAAACTTCAGTTATGCCCTTTTAACACACACACACACACACACACACACACACACACAGACACACAGACACAGACACAGACACAGACACAGACACAGACACACACACACACACACACACACACACACACACACACACACACACACCTCACCAAACAGCTTACCTGTCTGACCAGCAGACATTCAGCCTGTAGTTCTGCCCCTTCTGGAACAGTTGACTTGAGAGTCCGACTCTCCTGAGGCACAGTGGATACCTGGAGGGATAAAACAATAAAGAAATATTTTTTTGAACCATCAGGAGAGAGAGAGAGAGAGCAGAGGTGCTTTTTCACAAATGTAAAAATAATAAGTGTAGGTGTTGATGTGTGAAGATCTGAGTGGAAGTCATCTAAAAAAAACAAAAAACAGGAAAACTGATAATTATTCATCTACTATCTCCGAGCCAATTCCTCTGTTCAGGGTCTCAGGTAATACAAAATAATGGCCATTAAAATATATATACATATGCACTGTTCAACAGTTAAACCATTATTATAAAAAAGAAACCACACTGTACAGATTGATGACAAATTAGAAATAATCTGAATAAATGTGTGGAGAAACATAACATAGTAAGGGTTTGATGAAAACAATGGGAATTATATGTTATGACCTCCACAGACAGGTCAAGTCAATTTTATTATTATAGCCCAATATAAAAAATCACAAACTTCGAGGACAGACATGGAAACTGATGTTCGACAGATTTTGGACCGACATGTTAGACAGCTCTCTCTGCAATCATCATCAAAACACCAAACGAGGGAGTATCTTTTGGGTAAATGTTGTTCATCCCCACAATCTCTGCCAAAGAGCATTCAAGCTGTTCGGGGGGCCCAGTTTTGGCCTAATACATTACAAATACACTTCAAGTTATTTTTCCTTCAGTTTGCCACCTATCTGTATATTACACAGCAGGAAACACAACAACTTCTTCATCACATTGCCAGTTCACTCTCACTGGTAAAGCTCTCTGCTCCACCTCTACCATAATCAGCCATTACAACATGGCTCTAGAGACATCAGTCGGTCAACCAGACTTTGTCCAGGCTGAAATGGATGGATTGCAATGAAATGTAATATGGACATTCATGGTCTCCAGAGGATGTACCCTTATCCCTCTTATGATCCCTTAAGATTTCACCTAGTGCCACCAGCAGGTTGTTCAATACTTTGGTTTAGGGCTAAATACAATCAAAACTAAAGTCATTCCCATCAGCCTCAGCTGTACTTTGGTTCTTATTTCTAATTTGCAAATGTTACAGTAGCATTGCAACACGCAAATTACACCTGCTTTACATCAGCATACTTATGTTGTCATTGTGAGCATGTTAGACTTTAGCTCGAAGCACCGCTGTGCCAAAGTACATCCTCGCTGAGCTGCTAGCATGGCTGTAGTCTTGTTTTTCCTTATCAGGACTTCCTGTCGAGCTTTATTGCTCACATATCAGATATATAACACTTCATGAGCGATGATTTGTGAGGACATGCAAACCATTATCCAGTATATTGATGTAATATTCATTCCTTACCTTTTCTGAAATTGTTTCTAGCCAGCTTTACTGCAGTGAAGATTAATAATTTGAGTAAAATCTCCTAATAAGTATTCCCTTCCTCAGTAGTGATTAGACCCAGAACTAACCTAACCTATAAATCATGCAGCATTAATTACATAAAACACATTTTATGATCCATGAGACAGAAAATCAACATTCAATCTTTAAGTTGCATATTAATATTCAAAAAGAAACGCAGAAATATTCTTCAAAGTGTGCAGAATGGGAATGAGAAGAACTCAGCACTAAAGATCTCTGAGTGAACAGAGACAGACTTTGATTTATACGGCCCAATCAGCTGGCTAGAGTGCTGAGCTCACTAACCAACTGGCAATGAAAGAGATCTAGTAAATGCCTTTTGTGCATTAGCAATACTCTGCCAAGCCACTTTCACTTACAATTATGGAAATTGACTGTAGGCTGCAGAGACAAAGAAAATCAGAGAGAGATTGCGTTGTAGCCAGACAGAGCTGGGAACCAGCAGAGTCATGCATTAAAGCTACAACTCCAGGGGTCCACAAGCAAACGTTTCCCTTTACCACAAGCAGCCAATTAGGTCATCTTAAAGTGCAGGGGATCTGTGTCTGCAGAAACACATTAGCACTGGAATGAAAGTACTAATGAACACAGAGCTAAAGGGAGCCGGAGAGAATAAATTGTTGACTGTAATGAAAAGGCTGCAATGCTTAACATGCACGATTAGTGTGAATAAGTGCATCACGTTGGAGTGGAGAAAAGATGTCACATGTTGCATTTAAACAACAATGTATCATTGTCAAATTAAAAACCGATAACTTGGACTGTGCCCGAAATCACTCCATATTTACTATATAGTGCACTACACTTACTGTCCCCGATTCTACTAAAGTGTCCAAATTCTGAGTGTGAAGTTTATACACAATATAGTGAATTAAAAGTCCCCACAATGGAACAAAAATGTCATTCAACTCTACATCGGTCAGCAATAACGCAAAATGACTATCCATACGTATCTGAAATCTGAATTTACTGCTCACTACAGAGTAAACTGTTGAGTGTCTATTAATAATTTTGTTTAATAAACTGGCTTGAAAATGGCGAGATTTATATAAGTGTTTGGCTGACGCTGAAGTCTACTTGTCAGACCTCCAGTTAGGACTAGAGTAGAAGCCCAGCTTAGTCCGTGCAATATACCTTGACCTAATGTTATGACAGATGTATATGTATTTATGTAGACATGTGTTTAACCGATTCATTACCAGGTCTGCAGTTAAGCTAAGTCAAACCCAGCACCTTTGCTCCCGATAAAAGGCACAATGTCTCTCTTCAGACTGTGGAAAAACAGTGGATAATGAAAACTGGAGTTTTGAGTGTGGCTATAGACCTTTGTTGCATGCCATCTCCCCCATCTCTTTATCCTCATTTTCTTTTAGCTCTCGACTGTACCGCGTCTAATGAAGGCAAAAAAAAACCCTGAAAACATTACTTCAGCCTCTGGTAACTTGGAATGTATCAAACTAAAGTGATAAATAACTGAATAATGACACATTCCCCTTGTCTATATGTCTGGGAACCAGGACTGAGACTTAAAGAGATAACCTTCTTGTTCTGACTGCATTAACCACTGAACCATCAGGCCACACACACACTTACCAAGAAATCATTGTCAGGGAATAGGAGCAGTTCTCTGAGAGGGTCTTCCTTCAACTCGTCCCCCAGTTCAGAGATGACAGTCTCATAGTCAAGTGGATCAATCAGCTTAGGTTTCTCTTGCTGCAAATGGAAACACAGACATTTGATCAGCTTTCAGTTGTTTAGTTAAGTATCGAACCTCAATACATTACAAATAGATAAGATACAGTGAGATATAATACGATGTAAGTGTCAAGTATATTGAAAAAATGAAAGACTAACAACATTTTCTAAATTCAGTTAATATTCTTTTCAAGAAAATGTGTTTATTTAACATTTACACAGTGAGCAAAAATAGCATTCACAAAAGTAAATTAAGGATCAAAAAAGTAATGTTGGTATCTACACTGTAATTTGGATCATATTGGCATATTAAAAATGTTTAAACAAACACAGTCCTTCTAAAAGCTACTTTTATTTTATATGTCATATCTGTCAGCAGATATTGTGAGAGCAGAAACATGTTTCATACAGTTGTGTTCATGAACCACATTATTCTTACAGCACAAAGATTTTATTAAAATTAGTCTCCATGACAAATACAGTCATGATAATTTCCTGTGTTTTGCCATGACATCATTAGGACCTAAAAGAATCAAAAGAGGAAGTAGCACCACAGCTGAAGTGAGGCTGATGCACACCACACAGAACTAAAGTGGAGTTGTTTTAAGTTAACTGAGACGTCAGCTACATTTAATCGGATAAATATGATACAGGTGGATTTTCCATTGTGTAAATGAAAACGTCAACCAGACCAACACATACTGACGTTCTATAACCACCGCATACAAGAGTCGCAGCTCAACGGTCGCTTCTATGTGTGAAGGCCTGTTCTCACACAGCCCTCCAAGCCCCTCGGTGTACAAACCACCAAACTTGAACTTGTAAAAATGATGATGCACTTTAAAACAAAACAACACCAACTTTCTCTTTTCTCAAAGAGATTTAAAACTATGTTGAAGGATTATGTAACTGATCACTGAGTCACACAAGAAACCCCAAAACAAATTTTAAACGTGTTTTAGAGTTAAAGGACAACAGTAAATTACTTCTGTCATTCAAAGAACAGCAAGAGCAACAAAGTGAGAGCTGGAGCAGGCTGTGGTGAGGCAGGCAGAGGAAGTAATGATCTCTGGTTTTGTTCACACGCATATAGTGAAGACTGGGGCTTTTATCCACCACAGCTACCTTAACAGTCAGAACAGGCCTCTGGCACACAACCAAGAGAGAGCACACGGGGGGAACGCAAGAATGTAACCCAACTGATTGTGATCTACGTTTGAGGGCATACCTTACCACCCATACTATATATTGTTAATATGTACCTCAGTGCGGCATTATAAATTAGTGTGCTGATTTACACCGTCAGCATGATTTATATTCCGTACAGAGTCACCTGCAGTTCATCCGTAGTTTTATTTTCTAGTTCTTTGTTAGTTATATCTATTCAGTCAAACTTGTAAAGCAGTATTATTAGATAATGGCTTTTTAAACTGATTGGTCAAATTAAATGTCAACCATTATGATACCTCTTTAATCTTATCAATAAATGTATCTAATGAGGCAAAACTGAAAAATATGTGCAGCATTTAGCTTCTCACTTGTAAGGATTTGCTGCATTTCCCTGTTTTATATCACTGTAAAATAAATATATTTGAGTTTTGAACTGGTCGGACAAAACAAGCAAACGGAAGGTGTCAACTTGTGTTCTCAGAAATCTATTTTATGACATATTATAGACAACAATAATCAAATGAAAGACTCCACAGAGTGAAACTAATTATTAGTTGTAGTTTTTTTTGGAAAACTATCATGAGCAGACTTCAAACTTCAAACTGATAAATGAGTGTACAGCAATAGGCAGGAGAGCTTGAGGTTTTCAGATGTACATTGTGACTCACATGACGTAAATGTTTCTGGGTAAGGTCGGCTTTCCCCCTCACGAGCTGACATCAGTCAAGTACAGTAATGAGGCATTAGCTTAGCTAGGTATGCATCATTAATACACACTTCATTTAATCTGTTAACTATGTATTCTCTTTTCTCTGGCACTTATGGACGCAAACAAATATTCAAAAGAGGAGGAAATGAAGCACGCAAATATCATAAAAATGTGATTACAGTGTAATGGCCATAGTCTGAAGTCTATAGTCATTAAAACTGCACAAATCACAATTATGACTATGGCTGACAGCATATAAACAAATGTAAGTCACTGATAGTAAACTATAGCCATATGATATACTAGTTGAGAGTGTAATGCATCATTAATGTGACTGACAACTAGCAGAGACAGAAAGATAATACATACAATACTCAGCCGGTTGAAATCCGATCGCACTCGCTTGCTCTTTATTTTCTTCCTGAAGGTGATTTTGCTCCTGAAGCTCATTGTGAGTCAAGTGCGCAAATGTGTACAGTATTACACACACAAAATAGCAGCAGAACTTCCACTATCCGGAGAGGAAAAAAAGAAAAGATCTAAATTTTAAAAAAGTGAACGAAACAAAACGCACATCGAAGGGCATGTGCTCTATCAGAAGTGGAACTATGTTTGAGGGTGGGTTTATGCATTTGTTTCAGAACACGTGGATGCAGAGGAAGTTGATGTTTGCGCAAGAAACCAATCAAGCCCTCTAGTTTCTACACATTGCACTTCAATGTCTTTCACTTTCAGACAGTTCAGCAAGACAATGGGAGAAACTGTGGAAATCTGTTCTAAACAGATTAAGGGTAATAGCAAACAATCAATCAGTTTTTTACACTCCACATTACCAACTGTAGATGCAGACACGATAAGGGAGCCCTCTTTACAGTTAAGCACTATCATGTACTCTCACACACTCAAAGTCAAACTCTCAGCATCTTATCTTCTTCCATCCGAAGTTACCAATAGCACACCGTCAGTTCACACATGCACACAAACATATGAACTAGCATGCGAACCATCGACTTCCTGTTATAAAGCTAGCCTGTCCTCCTTTCTCCTTGTCCTACATGAGACTGTCTGCAACACAATGCGCACATATAAAAAAAGATACAAAAGAAAAACATACAAAGATATTCACTGATGCATGTTCCCCTTTGAAAATAATTAACATAACACAACGACATTTATTTCTATTTTTGCACACACTGACACTCACTTCCCCCAGATTAAACCTCACAGCAGAAGAGAGATCTGTACAAGAGGAAACAACTCCTGATGACACAACAAACTGGTATACCTGTTGTTAAGACATTACATCAGACTTTATATAGTTAGACTCTACTAAGTATGAATTAGTGCATTATATGACACACAGAGGAATCAATGTACTCTTTATAACCTTCAGCACACGCCGTCACAGTTTACATAAGGGGACTATTTCTCTTTGGCAGAAAGTAGTTCCTACCGCAACTGTTTATAGCGACATCTGTGGATTATCCCGAGTAAATGGGACAATGTTTTTTTTTTTTTTTTTATGTATTGTTTAATGCTGTGAGCACCACAAATAAAATTCCATTAATCTCAATTGAATTAGGGCAGCGGTGGTAATCTCAGATACATATCTTGAAACCTGAGCAAACAAATCTAGGACAATCTGCATGCCTGGATACCACAATCTTAATTTGTGGACTGAGTCTTTTATGCATTTGTGATTAGTAAAATGTGTAAAAGCAAAATTGTAAAATGTGAGGCTGCACTCTCCTGTATAGTTTATAGCGGTGGTTCTCAACCTCTCTCTTCCCCAAATTGATACGTAGACCCCTATTTGACAAGTGTAGTCTCAGTGATCCCCGTATGATAAGAATGAGTTAGTTAGTTATTATTTTACATTCTCTCCTTTAACTTATATCCAATTAAAATAAACTTAAATTAAAATATTCCCCATTTTTCTGGGAACTCCCTCCGCCCCTGTGGATCCCTGGACTTCCTGACAACCACTGCTTTATAGTATGCGGCGGTCATGTCAGTGAATGGCAGTCGGTTTTGGTCAAACGATGTGAAGTAACAAACAGTTTTGAGGTTAAGGTGCAAAAACTGTTTAACATCTATGTCAAATATGAATGTGTGAAATACAAAGCATTATTATCCGTTTCACTTTAAGTTAACATCTTGCTGAGGTTTTCCAGAGACGACACTTCACTCTGTCTTACATTAAGTCTACCAGGACAAGACATAAGTAAAGCATTAATCCTAACATACTGTATGTTTTCTTAATTCAAAAAGCGTTAACAAGTCTTTGATGTTTTGCTTCTGAAACAGTGGATCATAATTACGCTCTTAGCACTGCAGTCCTTCAAGCTTATTTAACGTCAGCAGCGACCTCCTCTTCTTTCACTCTTTCCCTCCCTCCATCCATCCTCTGTTCTGCACCAGCTGCCTCAGCTGGCTCCATCCCTCCAGTCCTCCCTCTCATCCTCTCCTATCGCTTCCTCATTTCATCAAACATCCTCAGCAGTGTACTCCTTTATTTCTTCATCCTTTGATTCTCTCTCTGTCTCTCCCCTGCTCCCTTGTTCTCACCCTATTAAACATCCCTTTTAACATCTCTCCTGCAGTACCCCGCTCCTCTGTTTTCTCTCTCCCCCTCCCTCTTAGCAGGGGTGAGATAGAGTGGGTGTTGATGTTGGTAAACTACAGCTGTGTGGAGGGCACAAATAGAGCACTAGACTGGTGGCTCACAGCATGGCTTTCCTCCAGTATAACTGTGAACAAGGGAGTAAGACAGAGGGAGAGGAGGGGAGGGTGCTCTGAATTAGTCAGAAGACAAAAGAAGAATAAATCTAAGTTGGAAAATTATTAAGACAAAGATGGAGAGAAATCACAGGGTTCAAATGTTTGCACATTATGCGCACAAGCTGGTCTGTGTCATTCTCAAGCACAGATTTAAGGGCTTGTCATCCTGTTAATGGAAAGATGTGAGGAAAGTGTGACAAAAAAAAGAGAAAGGGGGAGTATGGAAGAAGAGAAAGAGTGTGAAAGATTGATAGGGAATAAGAGAGAGAGACAGAAAGGGGGAGAGAGGGGGGACAGAGAAAGCTGAGACAGCAGACAGGAGAAGAAACTAGACAGAGGCCATCTGCTTTACATCATTAAAGCAATGCAGGGTCTGGGGAGAGACACAGTGGGACTAATAGGGATTCATACTTCTAAGAGAAGTCGTCCTCTGATGAAAAGCAGCGTTCCCCAATTTTGTCGGGCCAATTTGACATGTTGAGTTAGTGCTGAAAAGCCAATGAACCTTTTTTCTAACTTTCTTGCCTTCTTCCAACACACACACACACACACACACACACACACACACACACACACACACACACACACACACACACACACACACACACACACACACACACACACACACACACACACAATACACTGTTTTGTGGTCTTCTTAACACCTCTGTCAGTCTGTCCATTCAGCTGCATAAAGGTCATTCAGCAAACAATAAGCGGCTTTTCGTTAAGCAGTAAATGGACTAATAATTCCAAAAATAATCACATATCTTGTCAATGACCAATCAACCAGCCAGTGTCACATCATCAAATGTCACTCAAGAGGTCAAAGACTGACAGTGGACAAAGAGAGACCGGAGGATTTGCATTCTTTCCCTGACCACAGTGTCATTGACAGGGTGACCAGCGAGTCAAGCTTGGAGGAGAAGATAGAGGGAGGTAAATGGGGTGTATTGCACATCTGACAGCTAGAGGACAAGGACTTATGCAGCATGAGTTAGACCATTCCTTATCCCATAGTGCGTAATTTAAAAGAAACCTATATCTTTACATTCTTCAGTGCTCGATGGAAGCCATCAATGTGATACACCATCTTTTGACATTGTCCCAGCCAAATTTGAACAGTTTTACCTTTATCCTAAAAGTTCTACATGGTATAATAATAATAATAATAACAATAATAATAATATCCTTGCCCAGTTCAAAATTGAAGACACTGAACTGCTTTTAAAGAAACCCCCTCTTTATCAAACAGTGTTTAAGAATTGAAGATGCAGAAGACACACGGCCATACTTTTTAGCTTGATTCTCTTAATAAATAATATCCATCACCCTGATCCCTAAATGAGTGTCTAATGCAATTGTATACCTCTTGACACTTAACACTGACAGGTCTTGGTTGGATAGCTGTGTTAGTCACCGCTAGTAAATTACACATCATATTTCTATCTTTAAGCATGAATTATGCTGCAGGAACTGGCTGTTACTGAGAACAGTGCCATCTTTGTTTTTCAAAAATGTGACTAACTAATTTATGGTCCGAAAACTATTGCCAACATGATTGGATTTTGGAATAAATTTATCAATTTATTTAGTAATTTAAGAATTAAAAAGTGTATAAACCTTGGCACTGATGAATTGAAGCACTGATGAATCTCTGACATGGAAATATCTAGTCGCTAGTTTCTAGTGCAGCACGTGTTCTTCTAGTCACAGTATAAGAATCAGCAGGCAAACATGACTCTGCAGTATAAACTATCATGTCTCTAGTTTGCCAAAGAGACCAGAAAAACGGGCACCAGAAGAGATGGTTTATGGAGGGAAAGAAAGAAAGGAGAGACAGAAAGGGGCGACTGTAAAAATCCCACCCTGCCAAAACTCTAACATTTTTTCCACAGGGCTTACAGAAACCAGGGTCTTTCTGGGAATAAAAAAAAAAAACTGGCCAACACTAATGGATACAGATACCAAACAGATGGCTGACATGCAGCACTGCACTGAAAAGAAATGGCAGTAAGTAAATACACATGTACTTTTATCTAATTCATTCATCGATTCCTTCATTCAGTCATTAATTCTTTAATGCATTCATTCATTCACTCACTCACTCAAGCAGCTCTCACCCAACACTGTATTCATGGTTTTGTTTGAATAGCCTATTTTTATCATCTTCTCTGTACACCATATGCAGAGAAAGCAGATTTTTTCCCACAGAAACTAGATTCCTCATGTCTGACCCCACCATCCCCCTCTACTCTCCTCCCTCCATTTCCGTCTTTCTGCCTCTCAGCTGTGAAAGGAAACAACCAGGCCCCAATCACTGATCATACATCAACCTCAGCAACAGAGGAAGAGAAAGAGGCTGTAAAAAAAAAAAAAAAAAAAAAAAAAAGAGTTTGACAAAGAAAAGCAGAGATGTAGAGAAAACAAAACAGATTGCCAAAATCAAGAAAATAAAGTTTATACACATGGCAACAATTGCTGCTTCAAACTAGCAAAACTGAAACTGAGACTTTTTACCTTCTGGCTCAGAACATCCATCCATCATTACAATTTAAAATTCACAAAAACATACATTCCTGCACAGATAAATATGATGCCATTGTGCAGACAATTACTCTCCACCCACATACTGTAGTCCCCTCTACCTGCCCACACATGCATTAGGTAGAAAGTTAATGGGGAGTTGGAGGTGCAGTACCATTACAATGATGGTCAGAGGTGAGGTGGTAGAGGTGTAACCCTCTAGGGTGGGAGTGGCAGCATCCAATGACATCTGGTCCTGTCGTGAACACATGTGACCGCAGTCGGCCCCACCCACTGAGCGCAGGAGCAGGACCACACTGGCCGAACAACCCATAATCCACTGCTGTTGACGCCCAGTCCAGCCTGATCCCGTCCAGCAGTATAGGCGTCACCTGAACTGTGGTTCCTTGTTTCTGAAGCTGAACTCAAATGTCTGCCCTGATGACACAGTCCAGTTTGGTCCCGTCAGCCCCTGGTCCAGCCAGCGGTGCTGTGCTCTGTTCAAGCTCACTAGGATAACTGAGACTCCATCCTACATTACCCTCCCCTGCCTTGCTTCACTTCAACCAGTCCTGCTTTGCAAGCTTCCTGTGTCTTCTCCCTGCACTGCTCTACTCCAGTCTCCAGCTCTTAATGTTGCTGAGCTTACACACTGGCAGTCTTACATGGCTCTCTCTCTCTCTCTCTCTCTCCCACACACACACACACACACACACACACACACAGACACACACTCACTGACTGCAGCTGTGCACGGTTCAGCCCAGCCCAGCTTACCCAACAAATCACAGTCTGCAATAGCTGTCAGCTGACCAGAACCAGCTGCTACAAGCGCGCACACACACACACACACACACACACACACACACACACACACACACACACACACACACACACACACACACACACACACACACACACACACACACACACACACACACACACACACACACACCCCTGCATCATTTTTCAGATTTTCATTCTGCAGCACTCTCCTTCACCATTTTTCTCCCAATCACACCACTGCTTTCAAGTCTGACTTCTGCTGGCTGTGCTTGCGCATTTGCGGTTTTTGCACTGCAGACAGGACGAGAAGCACAGACACACTACACCACACTCTGATTAGGTAAAATAAACTGTTGCTTTTTTTAAGAAAGAGTATAAAAATGTGTGTGTTTATCCATATACATGTGTTTGCTACAGTAAATTTAGCCTAGTGTTCCACAGAGGAGGTTGGCAGAGTGAGCTTCCAGGGAGAGTGTTTGGGGAGTGGTGAGAGAGGCTATTGAACGGAAAGTGGATGGAAAGTGGGGAGTGGGCGGCTTCACAGATGATGCATGCAGAGTTTTAGGACTGTGGAATTAATGTAAAATTCCATGGTTCAGCACATAAACAGGTAATAGGACACTAACTGGGCTTTTGGTTGGGCTAAAACAAGTGCTTCACGTATAAAATTCCATTACATCAGTTCTGATGTCCCTGAGTGCCAGCGACAATCACTTTCACCACTTCAACTGTTCTCATGTCACTGTAACATCTGGTCTTGCTTTTCTCCTGCCTTGTTCGATGTGTGTGGCTAAACAAAAAAAAACCCCCAAAAAACGAGCATTCCTAGAACAAAATGGTTTTCATATGTATTGTAGCAAATTGAAAATTTTCTCATTATAAAATTCCCCTTGTTCTTCCCTCCCAGTCTTTCTTGCTGAACCAGAGGCTGTCCAAAGCAAAGATTTCAGAAAAGTTATGTCACCCAAAAGTTTCTGCCAGGACGCTTCGTTTGGGGTTTTTTGGTTTGCTGTTCTTTGCAAATCTTTGTCCTTCACAGGAGCCAGAAACATTTTAATTCGATAAAGGGGGAGGAGGTGGAGCGACATGCAGTGAACAAGAACAACAAACTGAATGTGATAGGCTGAAACATCTGTCAGTCAAACACTGCCCAAAGCATACTTCTCTTTCCAAAATCACCAAGACGCACAATAGAGGAAGTGAAAATAACATCAGACACTCACAGAATGTGAAAAATAATTTAAAAATGCACTGACTACATCAGAAAGAGATCAGCAGATCTCAACAGAGTGAGTTTTCATGGAGCGAGCTTCAAGAAACTATAAGAGAAACAGCACCTTGAAGGTCCAGTGTGTAACATTTATTCATTTATTTTTAACCTTTATTTATACGGGGAGGGGTCACTGAAAAAAATGCTCTCTTTCTCAGGAACACCCTGATCATTTTCACACAGTTAGACCTAGACACTGCCCAGTTCAACCGAGAGGAGTGTATGAGGTTTTTTTGGCTGATCGTGAAAAGATGTTTAAGGAGATACATGGTTTTTGCATGAGAGCAACAAGACTGTATATAGATGATAAGATGTCACTTAAGATAAAACAAAATAAGGTAATTCTTTATAATAGATAGGATTAGACAACCCTTAAACAGTTATAGAAGGAACGAATTAGTAGAAATTAACCCAAATAAATTCAAACATGTAAATTCAGCTCAAAGAATCACTTAAATGGACACAGCGGCCCACAAATGGGGTCATTTGAGGTATATTGTTTTACACATTTGACCTGTAATGTACTATAATGTAGCTCTATCTGTGCATTATTTCAAAGGCAGTCAGTAGATCTGTAATCAAGTGACACATAATGTATAGGTCCAGACATTCGCACACTCTCAGCTCCCTGCAGAGAGTAGGAGGTAACCATGGTGATGTTGTTAGGTCATGATTAAGGTCATTAGTGTCCATGCCAAAGTGACACAAAGTCCCACCCACCACCCACATAAATGCTCATTATTATAATGCTTTACATAGCTAAATATAAACAGCGCAACACACACAAACACACAGAAAGACCCACATGTGTGCACGTACAGAATTGCTATTCCTCTCCCACACAGTGTACAAATATTAACATGCCCCACTCGGAAGGAGATGACAGAGCATACGTCCAGTCCAATGTACAAAGTGGAGAGAAAGTGAAACATTAACCGCACCCACCAATACCACCACCACCCTGCCCAACGCCCCCAAAACCACCAGCCTCTGACTAAAGGCTCAGTGCAACATGCCTGATAGCAGCACTAAAACACACAGAAGTCACAGAGATGGGCTTTGTTTGTGTGCCAGGCCTCTACAATGGTCCTGTCATGCTAATATGCCCACACACACATGCCCTGTAGATGCCAGCAGTCCCCATAAGTCCCCATATTACACAGCTCGCTTGGTGTTGTGCTTTCGTTCCCTCCGCCTGCCTTCACACTGTTTTCAAACAGAGATGATATAACCACGCTGGCCGCTATAAGTGTGTTTCCATCCAAATGTCCATCAAGGTCAACTAATGCAATTAATGCAAACATTATGTGGATAGCAAGAAAAGATCATTAACTCTTAAATTGTGGCATTTAATTGATGCTGATATGGCATTCATGCCTTTTTTTTAATTATGAATTTCTCTGTCCACACACATTATGAGACATTCCTATCAGCCACCCTTTAAATTCCTTACATCTCTGGTGGAGCAGAGTTATGTACAGTGGGTGGCAGTAATGTGCTGAAGCTGTGTCTACACTACCATATATAAAACAAGAAGAGAAAGCAGAAGCATGTCCTGTTGAATATTCAGAAATATCTGTTTTAACTTTTACTACATCTTCTTTTTGTAGTATAACATTTACACCTCAACCAAGTATAAAACTCACTGGCAAGATTTGGTTGTTCTTTTCACATGATTTCTATGCACAAATGCAAAACATTCAAGAAAGTAGATTAAACATATTTGCATTTGGATATTAGAACTGTTTATCATAGGATGACGCCCGATCATACCACATTCATTCTACAAGTCTTACACAGATGATGTTATATATTATGTATTATCTGGCTCAATTAAATAAAAAATTATTTGCACATTTACCACGTTTACCTTTATGCAGAGCCAGGGCATTGGGCTTAATTGGGGGGAAGCTACAATAGCCGGTCTTTTCTGCCTTTTGTTTGTTTTGTTGGAGCCCTTTTTGTAACTGTTTCACTTCACCTCCTTTCTAAAATAGAAGGAGGGGGAGAGATGAATTTCAAGCAAAACACCCGAGGCGACTTTCAGCGAATGAGGTGGAGAGTGTTGAATAAGTGATGAGGAACTCGCACTTCCTTGGATGGGAATGAGAAAACTGACACACCCTCTGTGGTTGGAGACACAGATATGGAGATGTTGCATTGTAAAGCAGCTCGGCTCCCAGGACACCTATCCTTGAGTTAGAGTCGGTAAATAAATCACACAATGAAATAGGAGAACAAAACTCTACAAGCATAGTGTCACTTCCCCCGGACAAAACCATAGCCGTACCACCATCCACACGATAAGACAGAATAATCTACTCTTAAGAATCAAATGGATCCATAAAATAAACCATTAGCATTGAAATTGTGTTGCTATTGTTTGGACCTACAGTGTGCCTGAAAATGTGTCCTCCTTGTGCTTGCCTGTGTGATTGGGGTTAAGCTGTGTGCAAGTCTGAACCTCTGTAAAAGGATGACATCATCGGGGTGTATAGGGCAGTGTGCCGCCATCATTTGTGGAGTTAATGTTTTCCAGCTGCACAGCTTCAGTCTCTATAATCCTCCTGTTCCCAGCAGAACTGTTACTCTGCTGAACAACACTGAAGGTGACAAAGCAGCGGTTATGTACACTAGATTTGCAGAAGTTGGATGCATGCGAATGCTGCATACACATGTAGGTTAACTATTTACATGAAAGACAAACATAAGCCATTTTACTGACTTCAAATACCTCAGCCAACTAGGCCAAGTAGGAAACCACAGTCCATTAAAACTCTTGCACACTGCCTTGTAAGCAGTTAGCTCTGCTAAAGTTAGGTTCCCTGTAGAGCTGGAGGCTGACTCATGGCAGCGGTGTTTGATGTGGTGCAGAGCTCCAGTGAGTTTACTTGGGAAAACACTCTCCTGTTCCCATGGTGACCACAACAGGAAGGATGCTGTCACTCGTGGGTGCTGGGGTTCTCAGCAAACTACGGCTTGGCCCCTGGCACTCACAGAGCAACAAGAGGGACACAGGGTCAACCTCCTTCTGGCTGCACTGCCCCCCATTCTCACACAGCACACAACTCTACAGACTACAAACTTTTAGATACAGCTAAATTGAAACCATTTACTAAAGAGAAAGTGCAAATCATGTAAGAAATATATTTTCCAGTATGTTGCTGCAGCTGTTGTTGTAACAACAACAGCTTTGTCCTGGTGGATGGTTACAATAGAGAGTAGTAGTAGTTAGTGTTAATATTGTTTCAAGTTCATCCTGATGTGCTGCTCTCAGTAAAACCTCAGCCTGCAGATGCAACACCACAGCAACATGTCTTTTGCATAAACAGGAAGACAGACAAGGTCAAACAGATCTGCCGGTTTTTTTACCTGATACACAGAGGTACTCCAGAAATCTATCATTTCTTGCTAAAAATAGATAAGCAAAAATATTTTAATAAAACAGTCAGGTGTTTTTGTGAGATTGTTGCAGGTGGTTGTATACATTTATGATGTGTTATCTTGCTGTGCTGCAGCTGTGGCAAAAGAGTGCTTTTGACTGTCATTTTGAATCTGAAAGAGTTCC